TTATATTTATCACAAAATTCCGCCTTACAACCCGGTAACAATATCTTTAGATTTCAATGGATTCTTTGCGGGGAAAATTTGTCACCCGGTTTCCCAAAGCCTTAAACCTTTTCCTTGATAAGGCAGGCCCGGGGGAATAAATCTATTTCCGTAAAATGGGGAATTAAAGGCGACGGGATGATGCAAAATTTTTACCCAGGCCTTAGGGATGTTACGGCTATTAATCCAAAAATCTTCATGATCGAATTTGTTAGAATTGTTACATTTTCTTTTATGAAACACGATAATTCATTTGTAAGAAAACTTGCAGCTCTTACATCATGTGATTTATTGTGAAAGATAACATCTGTCAGAAAACATCCTTGCATGCATTGAATTCAGTATCAGAAGTGCTAAGTAAATTGTTGACAGTTGCTATTACTGATCCTGTCGCTGAAATTAGATTCGAAATTTTGCAGCACTTAGATTCCAATTTTGATCCACAATTAGCACAACCAGACAATATGAGACTGCTTTTTATGACTTTAAATGATGAAAACTTTGCGATTCAAATGGAATCCATAAAAATAATAGGTAGATTGACATCTGTAAACCCTGCATATGTGATCCCATCATTAAGAAAAACGTTACTTGAATTACTAACCCAGCTTAGATATTCTAATAGACCAAGAAAGAAGGAAGAAAGTGCTACTTTATTATGTTCATTAATTAGTTCAAGTAAAGAGGTCACTAAGGCATATATTGAGCCAATTTTAGATGTTTTGTTACCAATTTCACAAGATAACTCATCTGCAGTTGCATCAACAGCTCTGAAAGCAATAGGTGAGCTTTCAGTTGTAGGCGGAGAACACATGAAGAAATACTTAGCTGAATTAATGCCTTTAATTATTAATACATTTCAAGATCAATCAAACTCTTTTAAAAGAGATGCCGCGTTAAAAACCTTGGGCCAACTATCTGCTTCATCAGGTTATGTAATCGACCCTTTGTTAGATTATCCAGAATTATTAGGTGTTTTGATTAATATCCTAAAAACTGAAAGCTCCCAAAACATTAAAAGGGAGACAGTTAGGTTAATCGGTATTTTAGGTGCCCTTGATCCATATAAACATAGAGAGGTAGAAGTTACCTCCAATGCTAAGATGTCAGTTGAGCAAAATGCACCATCTATTGATATAGCTTTATTGATGCAGGGTATGTCCCCTTCTAATGAAGAATATTATCCAACTGTAGTAATCAATACTCTAATGAAAATATTACGTGATCCTTCGTTGTCATCGCATCATACTGCTGTAATTCAGACAATTATGCATATATTCCAAACTTTAGGACTCCGCTGTGTATCATTTTTAAGTCAAATAGTTCCTGGAATTATCTCAATTATGCATACTTGTCCACCTTCATTATTGGAGTTTTACTTCCAACAGTTAGGCTCCTTAGTGACAATTGTTAAAAAACACATTAGACCTCACGTCGATGAAATGTATGATGTTATCCAAGAATTTTTTCCCATTGTCAAATTACAAATACCTATAATTTCAGTAATCGAAGCTATTTCAAAAGCAATGGAAGGAGAATTCAAACGATTTGTTCCTAGAACACTGACAATGTTTTTAAATGTGTTAGAAAATGACAAATCAAATAAGAAAATAGTGTCGATTCGCATCTTGAAATCGATTGTCGTCTTTGATTCGAATATCGAGGATTATGCTCATTTAATAATACCTACTATAGTTCGTATGTCGGAATATTCACCAAGTACATTGAGGAAAATTTCTATTGTTACAATTGGGAAACTAGCTAAGTGTATTAACTTATCAGACATGTCCTCCAGAATTTTACAAACTTTGACTCGAGTTTTAAATACTGGAGATAAGGAGTTGGTAAAGTGCACAATGAACACGCTCTGTTTATTGCTACTTCAATTGGGGACTGATTTTATCGTATTTGTTCCTATCATCAATAAGACTTTAATGAAAAATCATATCCAACACAGTGTATATGACCAGTTGGTTAACCAGTTGTTGAATGACGAGGCATTGCCATCAAGTGTTCTTTTTGATAAAGATCACGATACGTCAAAAAAGGAATCAAATGATACCGATTCAGCTCCCGCAAAGTTGCCTGTAAATAAAGTTATTTTGAAAAATACATGGGATTGTACCCAACAAAGAACAAAAGAAGACTGGCAGGAATGGATTAGACGTTTATCAATACAACTTTTAAAAGAATCCCCATCCCATGCTCTTAGAGCTTGTTCTGGTCTGGCTGGTATTTATTATCCATTAGCAAGAGATCTATTTAATGCTTCATTTGCAAGTTGTTGGACTGAACTATATTCACAGTACCAAGAAGATCTTATCCAATCGTTGTGTACTGCGTTATCATCACCTCAAAACCCACCTGAAATCCATCAAACATTACTGAATCTTGTGGAATTTATGGAACATGATGATAAACCGCTACCAATATCTATCCAAGTTTTAGGTCAATATGCTCAAAAGTGTCATGCCTATGCGAAGGCATTGCATTATAAAGAAGTTGAATTTATTCAAGAACCTAATACCTCCACAATAGAGTCATTGATTAGTATAAATAATCAATTGCATCAAACTGACGCTGCTATTGGTATTCTAAAACATGCTCAACAACACCATGACTTGCAATTAAAAGAAACTTGGTACGAGAAGTTACAAAGATGGGAAGATGCATTAAATGCGTATAACGAACGTGAGAAGGCCGGTGAAGATTCTGTTGAAGTAATGATGGGTAAAATGAGGTCTCTACATGCACTTGGTTCTTGGGAGGAGTTGGCTGATTTAGCGGCTGATAAATGGCCAACTGCTAAACCTGATATAAAAAAGATTATGGCCCCTCTTGCTGCAGGAGCAGCCTGGGGTTTAGGACAATGGGAACAAATCGAGCAATACATTAGTGTAATGAAACCACAATCGCCAGATAAGGAATTTTTTGACGCTGTTTTATGTTTGCACAGAAACAATTTTACAGACGCAGAAAGGCATATATTCAATGCCCGTGATTTACTTGTTACTGAAATATCTGCCCTAGTTAACGAGAGTTATAATAGAGCATACAGTGTTGTCGTTAGAACTCAAATTATTGCTGAATTAGAAGAAATTATTAAGTACAAAACTTCACCTCAAAATTCTGAGAAAGCTGAAGTGATCAGAAGCACATGGAATAAGAGACTATTGGGATGTCAAAAGAATGTAGATGTATGGCAAAGAGTTTTAAGAGTTAGATCTCTTGTTGTAATACCAAAGCAAGACATGCAAATATGGATTAAGTTCGCAAACTTATGCAGAAAATCAGGAAGAATGGGTCTCGCTCGTAAAGCTTTGAATTCATTACTAGAGGATGGCTGGGATCCAGACCATCCGAACACGGCTAGAGCACCCCCACCTGTTATATATGCCCAATTAAAGTACTTATGGTCAACAGGTTCACAGAAAGATGCCTTACTTCATTTAATAGGCTTTACTTCTAGAATGGCTCACGATCTAGGTTTGGATCCAAATAATATGATAGCTCAGAGTATACCACAGAATAGCACTATTTCACCTGACCATGTAGAAGAATATACAAAGTTATTAGCTAGGTGTTTCCTGAAACAGGGTGAGTGGAGAGTTTCCTTACAACCTAACTGGAGAACGGAAAATCCTGATGCTATTTTAGGTTCGTATTTGTTAGCTACACATTTCGATGATTCTTGGTATAAAGCTTGGCATAATTGGGCCCTAGCAAATTTTGAAGTGATTTCAATGATAACATCAGGAAGTAGTGAGAAAACAAACTCTGCAAATGATACTTCTTCAAATGCAGTGTATAGAATTGAAAATGGTTTAATGGGTGCTGATACTGTCAATGTGGGAAATGATAAATATCCAGCAGAAATGATCCAGAGACATGTTGTGCCAGCAATCAAGGGTTTTTTCCACTCTATTTCGTTGTCCGAGTCTAGTTCTCTCCAAGATACTCTAAGATTGCTAACAATTTGGTTTACCTTTGGTGGTATCCCAGAAGCTGCCCAAGCTATGCACGAAGGATTTAGTCTAATCAAAATTGGGAACTGGTTAGAAGTTTTACCACAATTGATTTCACGTATTCATCAGCCTGATCAAGTTGTTAGTAGATCTTTATTATCACTACTTTCTGATTTAGGTAAAGCACACCCTCAAACTTTGGTTTACCCATTAACTGTCGCGATCAAGTCAGAATCTATTTCAAGACAAAAAGCTGCCTTATCTATTATTGAGAAAATGAGAATGCATAGTCCAACTTTAGTTGACCAAGCGGAACTAGTAAGTCATGAACTAATTAGAGTTGCAGTATTATGGCATGAATTGTGGTATGAAGGTTTAGAAGATGCCAGTAGACAATTCTTTGGAGAACATAATACCGAAAAAATGTTTGCTACATTAGAACCATTGCATGAAATGTTGAAGAGAGGTCCTGAAACCTTAAGAGAAATTTCATTCCAAAATTCCTTTGGTAGAGATTTGAATGATGCTTACGAATGGGTCATGAATTATAAGCGTACCAAAGATGTTAGCAATCTAAACCAAGCATGGGATATATATTATAATGTATTCAGAAGGATTAGTAGACAGTTACCACAACTTCAGACGTTGGAATTGCAACACGTTTCACCAAAGTTATTGTCAGCACATGATTTGGAATTGGCAGTTCCAGGCACCTACCTAGCAGGTGGTTCTATTGTCAAAATTAGCAGATTCGAGCCTGTATTCTCAGTTATCTCTTCAAAACAGAGACCACGTAAATTTTCAATTAAAGGCAGTGACGGTAATGATTACCAATACGTTCTTAAAGGACACGAAGATATTAGACAAGATAGTTTGGTCATGCAATTGTTTGGGTTAGTGAATACTCTTCTACAGAATGATTCTGAGTGTTTCCAGAGGCATTTGGATATTCAACAATATCCTGCAATCCCATTGTCTCCAAAATCAGGTTTATTAGGTTGGGTTTCGAACAGTGATACCTTCCATGTACTAATAAGAGAGCATCGTGAAGCAAAGAAAGTTCCCCTTAACATTGAACATTGGGTCATGTTGCAGATGGCACCTGACTACGATAGTTTAACATTATTACAAAAAGTTGAAGTTTTTACCTATGCTCTCGAAAATACCCGGGGACAAGATTTATACAAAGTTTTATGGTTGAAGAGTAGGTCTTCTGAATCTTGGTTAGAAAGAAGAACAACTTATACAAGATCATTGGCTGTGATGTCAATGGTAGGTTATATTTTAGGTCTGGGTGATCGTCACCCAAGTAATTTGATGTTAGATAGAATAACTGGTAAAGTTGTTCATATTGATTTCGGTGACTGTTTTGAAGCAGCCATTTTAAGAGAAAAGTTTCCAGAAAAGGTGCCATTTAGATTAACCAGAATGCTGACTTACGCTATGGAAGTTAGTGGTATTGAAGGTAGTTTCAGAATTACCTGTGAAAACGTAATGAGAGTATTAAGAGATAATAAAGAATCATTAATGGCTATTTTAGAAGCGTTTGCCTTTGATCCTTTAATTCATTGGGGATTCGATTTGCCGACTCAAACTATTGCGGAACAGACTGGTATTGAACTACCTTTAACAAATCCAAGTGAATTGTTAAGAAAAGGTGCAATTACACCAGACGAAGCTGCTAAAATGGAATCGGAACAAAAAACTGAAATAAGAAATGCAAGAGCCATGTTGGTATTAAGGAGGATAACTGATAAGTTAACTGGTAATGATTTCCATAGGTTTCATGAGCTTGGAGTTCCAGAACAGGTTGATAAATTAATTCAACAGGCAACATCAGTTGAGAATTTATGTCAGCATTATATTGGATGGTGTCCTTTCTGGTGATTTAAATTATGATACAAAATTATAAATAGATAATATTTACAAAGGGACATGTATATACTAATAATATTTTAAAACTTAGTTATGCACATTATTGTACTGTCATTTTTTGAAACTTAAACTATTTATATCTACTTAAATATATAACATGACACCAATTATTTATTGACTTAATAAATTTTCAACATGAATTTATATAAACATTAATCTGTATCAACCTTTCTTAATTGATTTTCTACGATTTAATATGAGAGTAATATTATTATGCTTTGTCGATTAACCAATAAGAATAAAAAAAATCCTATTTCATATTTGCCTGGGTTGGAAATTCATTCCCATCTTCTATTCTATTATAGTATCTATTGGACTGTGCCATAAAACAATTTCTACTATTTGAAAGCATATTTTTTTTATGATGAGTGTTCGAATAATTAGTGGAGCCTTGATAGTTTTTTGATGGGTAATATGCCTTTGCCTCAGATTCAATTTTATAGCTAGGATTACAACTAGCATACATATCTGTAGGATACGGATCTTGATAGTATACTGGAGTGGGATAAGGATTTCGTTGATAATTCATAGGGCTGTAGTTATGTCTATCATTATTAGGAGGGTATGTCACTCTTGGAATAGCTTGAGGAATATAGTTTGGATATTCATTACTGTTCATATTTGGATACCACATATTTGGGTTAGGAGGTACCCAGTTGTAGTTCATGGGCGACATTGTCATATAATTATTATCCCATACGTTTGGTTGTCTTGGATATACATTTTCATTAGATATTGTTTCAGGTGCTTGTTGTATAGAGAAGGATTCTTTATTTGATGCTAAATGTGAATTATTCCTAATAGGAGTTTTTTGAGGATTTTTTATGCCCTGCATAAAGTGTCCTGTCGCATATTCTGTTTTTTCTTGTGCATTTAAATTTTGACCCAACTGGTTATGAAAAGATTGATTATAAATTGTTCTTTCGTTTGTGAATTGTCTATTTTCCATATCTGTAAAAGTGGTTAATGGCGAGGTAGATTTTATTTTATGCTGTAAATCAGGGCTTACCGTCGCATTTGTATCCCTTTGTGAGGGTTCAAAAGGTGAAGTGAAAAAATTTGTGAATTTTGAATTGTTTTGCTCAAAATTATAGAAGGTTTGATTCTGATTCAAAGTTTCATTATTTTTTAAATTCGTGTCCATATCAATAGGAGATAAACTCATACTTCCTGTTGATGCTCGAAGTGGCACATTCTGAAACATACTTTGATTATTATTTGGTAAAGTTTCAATTTCCTTAATTTTGTTTTGCCATTTTTCTAAATCTAAATTTTCATCTTTATTTAAATTTAATTCTTTTTTTATATTCATAGGACTTAAGTCAGTAGAATATAAAAGAGATTGTTTTTGGAAATTTGTCTCATCAATCAAATGTTCGAACTGATTTGACTTGAAATTGAAATCTCCCAGGGAGTACCTTTTGTTAATTTCATCACTTCCCTCGTATCTATTTATTGGTAGTGATTGAAATGGTTTCCTTTGTTTCACACTTTTATTTACTGGTTCTACTTTAGGAGATGAAGTTTTACTTGGCAATCTCCAAAATGGTCTTTTTGGTAATCTTGATTTCATAACATCCATGTAATCTTCATGTATTGAATCAAATAAATTTTTCATTTCATCATAAGAATAAATGATTTTAGTCTTGTCCTCCTCATTTTGTATATTTTCTTCATTCTCATTGGGTTCGACCTGAGATAAATCTTCACTTCCTATTCCTTTCTCCTTTAACGGTTCTTGAACCACTCCACTTTTATGAAGATTCTCTTGCTTCTCCTTTAGTCGAAGAAATAGTTCATCAAAACCTATATCTTTTGTATCTTCTATACTGTCATGGTTAGCACCACCATCTCCTTTCTTATGAGCTTTTTTACTCTTGCTCGATCCCATTATTACTAATACTATTAAAGCACCTTGATATATTCTTCAAAAGATAGTCTAAATAGCACAGTTTTATAAAAGCTAACTCTATGTTCTTGCTATATTCTTGTGGTTACCAATAAATAAATTTATATATATATATTTATTTATCTATAACACAAAATTATTCAAATCGATCGTTACTCAAATTAAATCAACTGAAAGGCGATCTTTTTCTACAAAATAAAATGTAGAAGAAAAAATTATACTTATAAACCTTAAATAAATAATTTTAGTATCCTTTTATACTACCTGAACTATCCAAAACTTACACAAACTATATTGAATTTGAAGCTTTTAATCTTCTTATTTGACCTTTAATTTCTATAATTAATTGAGGCACTGACGTCTTTTCAATTCTGAGGTACCCCTTCGTACGCAATGAGTATAATGCCGATATTTGATATTGGACGATGAGCTAGTTAGTTACTGAATAGTTACAAACTATAAGACAGACCGTTTGTTCATAGTCGATTTATTATTACTTAAGGTAAGTATCTTTATAAAGGCTTGGTGATTTAGATATGTCCTGCAATTGGTATGTTGTGGGATCCATTGTCATCTTGAATCGAGTGTATAAATTATATATATTTAAATATGTATACAAATGGTAATAAGATATAAATAGACCGATGATTTATAATGATTTTTGAACGTTTGGGTCTAATTATTAAAAGGGGATACAATGCCAAATGATTGATCTTGCTCGTTTTATTTTTTTTATTTTAATAGTAATTATGAATGTAGTTTATACTGTTTAGTAGTAGAAAAATGTTTATTTTATGTTATTTTTTGTCTTACTTCAGGTTGAATTAAGCTGCTGGAGCGTATTCTAATTGAGTACTGTTTTCGTATTCGTACATGTCTAATGCAACAATAGCTGATTCTCTGACAACATCAACATCATCGTTCAAGTAACCTTTCAATACTGGCAAAACATCTTCAGTTGCAATGGAACCTAAAGCTTCAGCAGCTTCATGTCTAACCATTGGAGCTTCTTCTTTACGGGCTAAAACTTCAACTAAATGAGGAACAATGACTGGGTTACCCATTTGACCAAAAACGTATGCGATTTCATGTTTGAATAAAGCAGATGGATCGTTGAAACCAGTAGCCAAAGCTAAACATGCTTCATCGGTGTCGATATCTCTTAATCTAAACATAGCTCTGTATCTTTCAAACATTGGTTGTGATTGATCATTTAAAATGTTCTTTAATTCTTCAATCTTATATTCTTTTTGTAAAGCTAATGGTGGAGCTGGATCAATAGAAGAGTACAAAGATTTTTGTAAATGTTCCTTTTCCCTTTCTGTACCATGTTGCCATTTAATTCTAGCAGCAGCTAATTCACATGTTTGTCTAACTTCTAAAGCTGGATCTTCAACAGCAGCTTTTTCTAATAATTCTAATGAACCTGCATCACCTAAAGCACCCAAAGCTTCAGCTGCTTCGTGTCTAACCATACATTGTTGGTTTTGATCAATAGTGACTTCTCTTAAAACAGGACAGGATTCCATATTCTTGGTTTGACCTAAAACATAAGCCACTTCATGTTTCAATAATTCACTAGAATCACCAAATGATTCGGAAATATAATCAACAGCCTTTTTAGCAGCAACTGGATCCTTAGCAAATTCTTCAGCAACACATTTCAAGTTGAACAAAGCTCTGAATCTGTTCGCTAATTCACTCTTGCCAGATTTGTTAATTAAGATATCTCTTAATTGTTCCAAAGTTGAACCTTCGACGGTTTCTTCAAAATGCTTTTCGAAATTGGTAGACATCTTTCTTGTTTGTTATTCAAATCTGTTGAATTATTTGGTGTACTCTTTTTAACAGAAAATATAAATATTAAATAAGTTATTGAAACAGGAAGCACTTGATTAGATTTATCTAACTTCAATAGATCCGACAGTCGTTTATATATCAAGTGTATTGCAGGTTATAGATCGTTGTTTAAATTTTTGAAAAATTTTTCAATTTGAGCTTTGCGATGAGCTTGCCGAGAAACACCTGTACAATGGCTGAAAAAGTCTAGAATTCGAGACCTTAAACGAGAGGATTGCATAAGAAATCAAGTAGTTGATCAAAGTAATTATGAAGTTTAAATAGAGTTGAGGTTCTGTTATGAGTTGCAGCAGAGTAATAAGAAAAACTAAATGTACCAGATCATCAATTGTTCTCATCAGAATGTTAAGCGTATGCATAAATTAACTTTAGAGGCCCTTTGTTCCTATATCTTTTGAAAAACCACGAAGAAGCAGGACGATGGTTTCAGGTTACGAGAGTTTCAAGTTATAATAAGATTTTACGAAATCAACTTTCTGATTTAATTCGATGAAGATATAGCCCTTGATGAGATGAGTTTATATTTAGCATGTTATATCGGTTAAATTCATCGAATATTAATGAGATATTAATGATTAGCTTTATTAGAAATTTATCTCCTCCTAAATTCTAACATTTATATATCATTCAAAAATGTCTCCATAATTTCAAGCACTTATTACCTTCCATATCTGTGAGCGATAGTGAATATGTTTGGAGATTTGGTAATATCTATACGTCAACTTTAAAATAGCTTCGAACTTTCTTGTCATACACGGTCTTTGATTTCAATATTTGCAATTTTACTAATGGGAGTACTATTTGATACACAAATTAAATTTGATGGGATTTCAACACTTTAAATGATATGATAATATTTGAGCAATTACTAGTACTAAAAAATGAATCACAAGAGCATCACCTCATTGACCGTATTGTCAATACTATAGAATTGAAAATAATAATATACCGTAACTTCAACTTCTCATCCTGGGAATTCATGATTATTTCTAAAACTTTTTGTAGAGAATCAGAGGGTTGTGGATTCTTTACAGAATCGTTAATAATAGTAGATTGTTTAGTTGTTTGCAAGGACATTCTTAATAAGTTGATATTGATCCGGTGTATTAAAGTATAAAATATACACATGGGAATATAGTACATATGATAAGTGTCAATTAAGATCTTACCAGACTTTATATACAATGTTTAGATATTATTGACACGTCAGAAGCAAATACTTTCGTATTATAAACATTTCTTTATCCCTTATTAATAATGATGTTTCATATAATTCTTCACCCTTATTAATATTGAATTAATGAGTATGACTTTACGTCATCTCATAATTTCTGACACTTTTTATGTCATCTGGACCATTATTAATCAACATCCAGTTGTCATATTTGTAATATTAGCAAATGACGAGCCGCTATGATTAGTAGTGCCGAATATGGTATGCAATACCTCTAACACTATAAGTAACCCTATCGAGTGGAATGATTATTAATAGACATTTATCTTCCAATATTGCCATCTATTGCAGTAAAAATGGCTGTATTATCATCAAAAGAGGAAATTTTAGAAATAGTTTTGTAATAAAATATACCTGTTGAGTATTCGAGTACCCGACTAAGAACGTTGTTGCTAATTTGCCCCTTTGGCCAAGTGGTAAGGCATCGCACTCGTAATGCGGGGATCGTGGGTTCAATTCCCACAGGGGGCAAATGATATTTTTTTTTAAATATCTTTTTTTTATATATATACAAATCCTTATTGATATATTTAAGAACTTGATTTGCTGAGAGTATCTGAGGCAAGAAAAACCTCATCTTGGCAAAGATTCGATTTTACTTACATTCTATTAATCCAATGTTTTCTTATAATAAATATAAATGGACTTTTTTTAACTAAATTCAGTCACTGTATGACCATTCAATTAATTGCCAAACAGTAAACTCATTATAGAATTAGGAGAATAAAAAATATATTAGATAAATAATACATTTAATTAAACTTGGTAATTTTATATAATATTGTTAGTACCTATAAATTTCTATTTTTATCAAATCACTGAGTAATTTAGTTAGACTTCTTTGATTTAGCTTCATCACGTTTTGCGTAAATTTGAGCAGTGAATGGTTCTTCTAATTTCAAAGCTAAGTTGTACATAGTTTGAACCATAAATGCAACCAATAAACCTGCTGATTTACCATATATCAAAGCAGTACCCAAAAATGAAAGAGTTGAACCTTGATACATTGGGTTGTTGCTGACATTGAATGGGAAAGCAGTGACTCTTTCATCCATTAAAATACCAAAATAATCACCTAAGTAAGTACCAGTGATACCTAATTGGTACATTGAAGTTAAGACAAGTAATTGACCGAAACCAAATAAGGTAACACCAACCATTTTGACATATTCATTTTGCAAATATGGAGAGGAAAATTGATTGTGTAAAGCTTGTTCGAAGAAATAATCACGAACTAAACCCAAAGAAAAGATAGTCATAGCTAATAGATAACAACCTCTTTTAGCACTACCGGCCAACTTGGTTAAGAAATGAGTTGAATACTCAAGACGTGCAACAATATTCCAGAAAATTGGATTGAAAGCAACAAAAAAGATTGATATTTGTAAAGCTCTATCTTCAAAATTTATTTCTTGAAATAAATCAACATAGATTTCTTGTATAACTAAGAACTTTTCAGAAATCATATCCATAAAGGATTCGTTACCACCAAATGCTGGTGTTGCAGTCTTAAATGCAGAAGAGGCTATCGATGTAGCTGAAGTAATAGCAGAGGAAACAATCGAAGTTGTAGAATTAGACATTGTCAATTTTTTTTATTTTTGCAATAGAGTTACAGTTCTCGTAAACAATTCTTATCTAGAAATTCAATAACATTTAAATATTCAAAACCTTTCTAAAGTACTTTAAAATTATTCAATTACCTTTTTATTATTAATCTTGATGTCGTTTCGTTTATATAGTGCCGTGTCAAAAATAAATCACATGCTGTTCGAAAATATCAGATACATAATAAAATAATAAGATCAGATCAAGATTCGAGGATTTGTCCGTGGTGATGTGGAGTTGTTTTTATAACATGCAATCATTGGCAAGTAGGAGTTGGAACCTAAGAAAGTAAGAAATAGTTCGAATTCGAATCAGAATTGAGGTCCATGACCTAAATGTTAGAAGTATTCTAAAAATATTGTAATTATACAAAACATTTAAGTAAAACTAATTGTTATATGATTGAGTGCATGAGATAATGATTTACAGAAAATTGGGGAGATAGGATAAGAAGATGGAGTACGATTTGCTGAAGAGGGTTGGAAAATGAGTGGAATTTTTTTCTTTCTTTTGGAAAGATTCAATACAGGAGTATCTTTATATTGCCTTATAAATTGATAACAATATAAGGAACTTCGACATCTTCACCTTCTTTATCATCTGCACAAATTTCTAAGATCATAGTACGTACATGAGAAGGAAGTTCAGTTTTAGTAACAAACTTCACCAATTCGGAAATTGTTAAATTCATTCTTTCCTTTAGCTTTTTAGGTGGGAAGAATGAGGCATATAATAGGGAGACACCATATGATAACATGGTGATTTCTAATCCTTCTTCTTTTTCAAAGTGTTCGATCAAATCTGATAATTTGATGTCACCTTTAATATCAAATCTATCCCAGATCCTATCATATTCCTTACCATTATACTGACCCTTTGGAGAAGCAATTGGTTCAGAAAATCCGAAGAATGGTAAAGCCAAATTAACAAAACCATTCTTGTATTGTTCAATATCGGTCTTTCCATCAACGACTTTATACAATTCCAAGTTTACTAAACCAGTAACTAAACCGGTAGTTGTAGCAATAGCTGGAATAATACGACCTGCTATAAATTTGGTCTTTTGACGATCGGCAGGTTCAATAAAATAGTTCAAGGCTCTACAGTTAGAACATGCTGAAATAAATTCAATATGATGATTAGAATCATCGTCCTTTTCAAATTCAACTGGCGCTAACTTGAATCCTGATAGAGTAGATGGGTTTGGTAATGATTTTGCCAAGGATTCCAAATCATCACTTGGATTGTTGGCATTTGGATCTGGATCATCATCGTTGACTTGAATCTTGACATTAGCACTTGGTGTAAAATCTGGGATAATCATGCTGTCAATAACAGACTTATAATGTGAAACGTCTGGTTCATCTCCACCTCCTTGTAAGTTATAATTGAAAGCGCGTAAATTGGCACCGCCAACAACAAAGTGGAAGTGATCTGGATTATCGATAGCAAAGACTAGTGGAGAAGGAGCACGTTTTGGACCAGACCAAAATGGTGCACCATTTGATGTCTTTGCATCTTTTGGAAAGTTATACAATAATTGTTGGATATCATGATTGAATTTCTTTTCGAACTCTAATCTTGCCCATTTAATACAATCATCGAAGTCAGTTGGTCTGTTTGATAAAGAATCAGAGACTGATTCGAAAATACCCTTGACATCACCACTCTGTTTCATAGTGTTTTCAATGAAGTTTGGTTCAGTTAAGTACATGTTAACATTTTCTGGAGTATCAGCAAAATACCCTTGGAATAGGGATTTAGCCCAGGCAATTGTATGGTCGATTTTATTTGGGAAAGAACGCAATGTACATAGAGGAATTGATTTTTCTGGTGGATCTCTAGAAGAGGAGTATGATTCAGTCAATCTTGGAATAATTACTTGAGTATTACCCTTTGTACCCAAAGTACCTGATTCCAATAATGGTTTTCTGTAGAAAACACAACGACGGTCAACATACGTACGTGCATCAACATTATCTAAGGCGTTGGTTACAAAGTCCAAAGACTCCCAGAAGGCATCACTGAAGATATCTTCAGTTTCAGGACCAACTTTATCAATCTTAGGTTCTATTTTACCTTTCAAATCAGGATTCATGGCAATTACAGCATCAGCAGCAACTTCTGATTTATTTCTTCCGACATCCTTTGGTCTGAACAAGAATTGACGGTTCAAGTTGGATTTTTCAATAGAGTCGTTATCGGTAACAGTAATTCCACCATTTTCACCAGAACCTAGACCCAATAAGGCCCAGTTTTTTAACATTTCACAACCAATGGCACCAGAACCCACCAAAAATACTTTAGAATTGGCGATTTTCTTTTGAAAGTCAACACCAAAAACGGCAATTTGGTTATCATATCTTGAATTGATAGGTTTGGTTGATTCTGTGGTTCTTGGGAAACTCTTGGAGTTGGGTAATGATTCCAAGGAGTCAAAGTATAAGAACTGTTGAATTGGGGTAAATTTACCAGAACAACCTTTCAAAACTTCTTGCGCAACTAAACCACCAAAAAATGCAACAACACCTGGAATATCACCTCTAGCTTGATATGATAATTCCTTGATCAATTCTTTATCAATTTGTGGTTCATCACCTTCAGCAATGTTCAAAACATTAGGTTGTTGGACTGCCAAATCAGTTACCAATTTAACCAAGTGGTTTGCATCTTCTTCATTCATTGGTCTTGGTAGTTGGCCATTATTTTTTAACTTGAAGTATTGTAAAGCTTGGAAACCTAAGTGTAATTGCGCGGTTCTATCGAATTTGGCAAAATCTGAAAATAAAAAGTCAGGAGTTTGTAGAGAATCGAATAAGTTCTTATATGACAATTTCTTTGGTACTTTAACTTCGGTGAATACACCACCTTTGACGTAAGTACCTAAATTATCTACATGATCTATTTTAAAAGCGAATGGACCCAAGACTTCAACTTTATGTAAAGCCCCATCATTCAAGGATTCTAGACCTTCGATTTCTGAGAACTTGACATAGTTACCGTCTTCTAAACCATGTCTGTTATCATCTAACATTGTGATGGTACCATTAGGTTCGATATCTGAGATGATACCTGTGCGTGGTTCTTCACCGGTGGGATCGATGACTGTGAATTCGTCACCAAAATCTACGAAAACGTTACCGAATAAACCGTGAGTTTCAGTAGAGATGAACTTAATATTATGCTTATGGCAGAAATCATTCATTTTAATTTTATCTTCCAAGGTCAATAGATCTGTGATGACGATAACTTGAAAATCCAGTAAATTATTGAAATTTTGATCGATACGGTCTAAAATTTTAACTGGCACATAAGAGTTTAATTCTTTTAATTTTTCCATTGATATTAGATCTCTCTTTTGACCAACATCGGATTCTGTTAAGAAGAATTGTGTTGATAAATCTTGTAAACTAATTGGACTTGGATCATAAAGGGTCATAGATTTCACACCTGCCAATACAACATTTTTAGCGATCTCTACACCTAAACCCTTTAAACCCACTACCAATACATTTGAATGTTGCATTTTCAACATGGCCTCTTTACCAAGGACGTACAATTGACGAGAGTACAAACTCTCGTCGATTTCTCCTGTTTTGCTAGACATGATTGCAGTTTGCTTGTTTTTTTTTTTGCTTTGCTTTGAAATGTTAAACTACAGAAAAGGATAGATAATAGTCTCTGCAATTCTTAATTATCTTTACTATTGTATGTTATGTTTTTATTCTAGTCTGTATAATTGAGCCAAACAAAATTATACCACTTTGAAACACAAATTAACAACGAATATAACAGTAAAAATAAAAAGTACAGTAAATAAGTTGAACCTAATTTATTTTTATATGATTTTGATTTCGGTTCCCACTAGAAAATAAGTAAACTGTCCAAAACGGGTATCCCAGAGTCTAACAGCCACACAAGAAATTAGTTTACTTTACCTTGTAAATTCAAAATTCTTAAATATCCAACGTTGCAATGAATGAATTATCAGATATTAATCATAAATTATTAATTAACAATTACTAATTATCTTGAAAACTTGTAAGAGAGAAGTCCCCTTCTTTCCCTCTTTTTTTTTTTTTCACTTATGGATACTTGTAGCTATGGCTTGCTTTTTATACTCTCTCTAATTTCTTCATTTCCTCATTTCTTCATTTTTTCTTTCGTTGGCTGCGAGGGACAAATTCGAAACGGAAAAAAAATATTTGCCACCGTTTCGTTCATGGTGATGGGTGTGTGTTCGAAAGGACGGTCACGTGGTTGTGGTGTTACTGGCAACCCAACCCAACCCAACCCAACTACCAATGGCACTGGACTGATTGATATTAAACAGACCATTACATTAGTCTATTGGATTGTAGTCAATTGAATTCACATCAGCACTGCTAGATGTCAAAAAAATAAAATGGACTGGACTGGGTTACTTACTGTACCATACCATACCACCTAAGTGATGGGACCCACTTGTCGGTTTCTTGTTTCACGTGAACAGTAGTCTATACTATATGTCATAAGTATATATCCAGAGCTATAGGGAATGGATGATCCATTTGAAAGTTGCTTTATCATACTGATTGGGAATCATGTCCATCCATGTCTTGACAATGGTACCATTTTGCCAGATTAAAGTGATGTTGGATTGTTCGTATCAAGTAAGATGGGTAGATTATTATAACCTATTTTTAGGCATCCCGTTGGTTGACCTAACAACCCTTTAACTTATTTGAAATTTCGTGTTGAAATTTCGTCATCACACAATTTTTAGAGACAATCAGTAGTTATAATGTGGACTGGACTGGATTGGATTGATCAAGTAACTCTACTGATATATCGTAAATTAGGAAATTCTCTATTCATGTTTAACGTTATCAATTGATGGTGGTCTATATATAATTTGTATGTAATTTTATATAGACACACACAAGTATATTTATTCATTTATATATATATATTCGTAAATAAGCTGATTCTAAACAGAGGTATAGTTTTCTCAATTCTGCTCTCTGTGTGCTTATTTAAATTCTATTGGCAATTATTATTACAAAGGCATGTTTGATCAAACTCAATTATATGGTGGTGCCATCAATACGGTGATACCAAAAGGTTTTTTAGATGTTTCCTTATTGCGTGAAGTACCAGATACACAGGAAGTTTATGTCAATAGTCGCCAGGAAGGTGAAGAATTCCATGATGGTCTAGGTAGGGATGAAAGCATTATTGTCGATTTATTGCAAGAAGTCGAAGCTACAAATGAATTAGAGGCTTTGCAAACTCATATTAATGAATTGACTACTTTGAATGATGCTACCGATTGTGAGTATTTCAAACATGATAAGCCTACTGATAACAGTCAAATTTGTATCTTGATGGAATCAGCCAAAAAATGGGGGAAACCTGAACTTCAAGAAAATGTAGTTATATGTATGGGATTGATTAGATTACTAGAGTATTCGACTGATGTAGTCATCACGATAAACATCCCATTAGGCAAAACCATCAACGAAGATCAAGATATTTTAGAACATCCAAATATCATGGCAGCATACGATTTATTGAGAGAAATGGTAAAACAATTCAAAGTTGTCGACCCATCATTATTTATTTAATTTTTGCAAAATAAGTTAAGAAATATACGTTTTATATCGAGGAGCTGTTTTTTGCAATTTATTACAATCCGAGTCTGTTTTATAACAATTATTCAAAGTCTTTTTTATAACAACTATTCCAATTCTATTAGGTATCATTTCAATTATTCACTTCAAGTTCACTTCAACCATAATAGTAATTAATTATTTAACCTTAGAATGTATTTCCGTTTTAGGCGATTTTTTTCTCAAATACTTTCCCGATTTGGAAAGTATTTGAGATTGAAATTTTATTCGAATGTAATAGCAACGTCAATGGTTTTAAATGATTCTTAATTAGTTTAATGGCTAAGAAATTAAATGATTTCTTCATTACATCAAGGCTCTTTAGGATTTGGAATCTATTATTGGTATTTCAAAGTTGGTACAATCATTTTCCCTTGGTTTTTGAACAAATTTTAAAACAAAATTACAAATATATCGCTAATTAAGGTATTTACCCTTTTAAATTTTAGTCAGCAGCAGTAAAGTTGTATTAGTGATACATTGAAGGATCCAATTCATTGAACAGCTCAATAAATAAATTAAAGTTACTTCAATACTGGATCTGTGGTTTCAAAAATAAATCACACTTAGTAACGCAAGTATAGTTATTTGCAATGGCGAAAACAAGAAGAGCTGATCCACCAATTAAAACTTTGTCAATTGTGGGGACTATTGTGGTAATATCAGTAATTATTATTATCAAATTCATTAGTAGTTCTCACTCTCATGATATTGAAAACATCATAGAAAATTTGAATAAAGAAATTAATAGCAATATTGATAGTGTCTCAAGATTCAAATCGAGAGGGAAATCTGATGACAAGGTATTGTCCAGATTGGAAGAACTAATATCAGACGTTCTCACTGAGCAAACAAGGCAAGCAGATGAACTAGTAAAACAAAGAAAACTATTGGAAAAGAAAGTTGCTGAACTCAAACAAATGCCAGAATCTGGTAGTTTAAGAGAGAAGTTAGCTTACACCTTTGAATACAACACTGCAAGAAAATTCCCTGCTTATATCTGGCAAACTCATGTTAAACCAAATTCTAAATCAGCTCCAAAGCAAAGAGCGAATAAAGCGAATAGAGGCAACTGGGAAAACAAGAATCCAAGTTTTGTGCATGAATTATTTGAAGATATGGATGTCATTTCTGCTATGGTTCAATATCATTATTCTTCCATCCCAGATGTAGTAGAAGCTTATATGTCTATGAAATCAGACATATTAAAAATCGATTTCTTTAAGTACTTAATTCTATTGGCCCGTGGTGGTGTCTATTCAGATTATGATACTGATCCTATTCAACCAATCCCGAATTGGATTCCTGAGTTCATAAATCCAAAAGATGTCGGTATAATTGTCGGTGTAGAATATGATTTATCCTCTGGATCACTGCCAAAGAACTATGAAAGAAGATTACAATTTGCAACTTGGGTGATTCAATGTAAGCCAGGTCACCCAATAATAAGAGAAATTGTAGCTCAAATCACAGAAACGACTTTACAACGTAAAAGAGATGGCGAATTAAGTGTAAATACCAGGGATTATAAAAATATCATTAATTGGACTGGATCTGGTGTATGGACAGATATTATATTCTCTTATTTCAATAATTATTTACAAAGTGGTTTAGATAAAAAGGTTGTATGGAAAGATTTCCATAATCTACTTGTACCAAAATTAATGAGTGATGTACTAGTTTTACCAAAGTTTTCTTTCAATGCTCCAGATAATAAGCTGGACGGCCACCCTGATAGAACTTATCACTACTGTACTCATGATAAAAAGGAGTCCTGGAAAAAGGTCCCTACTTTGTAATACCTAAATTTACATAAAATCTTAATAATCAACCTGATAAGGTTAATTGCTGTATACAAGGATCGTATATTTGCAATACTCCTCCATAGAATCTATTTATTCCTTATATTTATATTTTATTTTGTATCTTTTAAATAGGCATTAATCTAAATTTAAAAACTTTATAATTACCAATGTTAATAAATAATATTGTACTTAATTTTTTTAACTGCGTATTAGATAAATGAATGATACTTAATATAAAATATTTTCGGTCTATATTATAAACATATAAGTCAAAAGATGTTATAGGAATAAGATATATAGAATAAATTTAATCCTTTTTATTGGAGTGAGGTTTAGAATATTTGGAACTGATAGAATAAGTTGAATCATTAGTTTGGGTCTTATCAGAGCTCTTGGTATTCAAGAAACCTACAGTTACTAGTCTTGGCCAATTGACAAATTGTAATCCGTTCTTGGACAATAACAAACCAGTGGCTACTAAAGTCAATAATGAACTTAAAAAGAATGTCAAGTTCTTAGAAGAGGTGAAATGAACTTTTGGGAATAAAATTGTAGCGAATAAGACAGTTAGGGCGGCAATTAAAACGGTTGGAATGAATTGAATGTACAGTGGTCTATTGTCATGGAAAGGTGATTGGATAGATGATTTGTATGGCTTAAAACCACCCAAGATTAAATCATAAGAATCTTGTCTAGAACCATCAGTTAAGTTGTTTTGGTAGTAACGAGATACAGAATTGACGAAATCGTTCCAAGCACCTAATTTAGTACGTTGACCAGTTCTAGTAAAATCGGTCTTCAAAGCACCAGTACCTGAATATGCAACACTAACAGCATCTGCATTATCTGCCCACATATTTTGGAAAAGTTTCAATAAGGATTTGTCAGTCTCCCAAGAGCTACCATCTAAAATAACATCAGATTGAACAAAAGCTTCTTGCAAAACCCAGTTTGCTAAAACAGATTGGACAACATTTGTTCTATCCAAACAATCCATACAATTAGTTCTAACAACAGAATGTTGTTCATTTTTTACTTGAGATGTAGCACCAGTAGCTTTATCAATTTTATGGAAAACATCAGTATTCGTTAAACCTTCTTTTGCCAATTCATCGATTAATAGTTTAACTCTGTGCCATCTCATTTTAGAACATTCGTGATGGAAATCAAAATATATGTAATGTAATTTTGGATCATTTAATGCATCAACAGCATTTTCGTAAGATTGCTTAACAGGTAATTCGTGACCCTTTTGATTAACCAGATTTACTAAATAGTTGTCACCATATAGTTCTTCTTGTTCCTTAAAATGTAATTTTGTAGATTCGTAACTACCATTATCACCTAAACGTAGATCAGGTTTATATTTCAAGTTATTAATTTCTGCCCAATATACAGGAACGGAACCTCTTGTTTGTAAGAATGAGAAAACTTCAAAAGGAGCATTACAAGCAGTTGGTTGGACAATTAAAATTTGTTCCGTTTCATTGAAGTTACTAACATTACCATTTTCATCAATACCACGACGGAAATATCTTGTACCAGCTCTGTAAATTGAACGTCTGGTGATTAGACCAAGAGTGATTGGGAAATAATTGAAAACTGTAATGGTAGCTTTTGCATAACCGTAAATAACAGGTTGAATAAATTGATCAACTCTCTTATCTTCACTTGCTAAAGTCTGTAATTCTTCAGTTAAGAAATGATTCCAGAAAAATCTTTTATCAGCAGTTCTCCAGGATGGATTTTCAATTTTTTCATTTCTTTGCATTGAATTTGTCATATCATAAGTGTAAGAAAAGAATAAAGTTGAAGTATTCAATTGAAACTCTAAAAGTTTCAAATATTCAGATTCATCAGAATCAACTCTGCCAGATTCGACTAAAGGAACGATGGAGTGTTCGACGACTTTATATAAGATATCATCTTCTAATCTACCGACTTCTTCTACTTTGTTAGCTAGAATTGCATATCTATTCAATTTCAATCTAATAAAACCCAATAAAGCAGCAATCTTGGTAATTTTTCCTTCAACAGGAAATTCTTCTAAACCAACTAGTTTCAAATTCTGATCATGACTAGAATAAGATAGTACAGAATCGACTTTCTCGATTACTGATGCACTTTTAAACAATAAACCTTCAGAAGTTCTTGCATATAACAATGGTCCAGCAGCAGTCATTATAAAAATCGAAAGTTCAAAGATGGGTTGTTGCTCTTATATATATATATATATATATATTTCTCCTTCTCTCTTGGAACAAGCAGCTCTTGATATAGGCAAAAGGAGAAGAATCCAAAGTAACCTAGAATGTAATATATATATCTAATACACCAAGTCAATGAATTATAAGGTTCCTCCAGAAACGTCAAACCTGTTTCGAAATGATAGATTCGAAATTGCTTTATATCTCGTTTGAATGCTCACTTTAGTTCGTTTTCGAGATTTTAAACTTGATTACGTATTAGTAAGGAAGACGACAGAGATGGGAGATGGCGATATGAAAAGAAAAATCCGTAGCGAACTTGCAAAAAAGGAACAACTAGCAACGATCGATTCGAATCATAATAAGAAGGGGGGGGGGACAGAGGATGGTGATGGTGATGGTGAATGATGATATTGGGGCTATGATGTAAATTAATGCTTATATTATATTACGATGGATTAGGTTGTTGAAAGCTATCTTTAATTATGGTTCGTTCTGTGGGGAGGTTATATATGTTGTTTGTTCTTAAAATAGAGGTTGGATATGACTGTGAGTGGTCATGTGATCAGTCATGTGACCGTATGGCATAAATGTATCATTTTAACTTGGAACCAATCAGATCAAGTGAATCCATTATAAATTTGGATTTCGAGTCACTTATCCTTATAGCTATATAGCGTATTTATGTTTCTATATCTCTTATGTACGTGTGTGCAATACTTTACTCTTATATTACGTATTCGTTCATGAGTGTAAGTGTGATGATTCTTGGTTGGTCACGTGACCTACTCTTCAATATCAAATATATCTAATTGAAATATATAAAGGAAGCCTTTAAAAGTTGATTAGAATGTCAAACTATGCCATACAGAAGTTCAAATCTAAGTTCCATTCTTTTGGTTTCAGAAGTTGAATACTCTACATCTGGTGGCTGCTAGTCTTCAATTGTTCTGCTGAGATTGCGCTGGTTCAATTCAAACAAGATTAATTGGGTATACAGCTTTGGATATTACAGAGGGAAACAAGAAAAACGTTACTATAATGGTATATCAACTGAGGGCAACTTTAAAGGGACATACTCAAGATGTCAGAGATGTCGTTGCAATTAGTAATGAACGTATAGCTAGTGTCTCGAGAGATGGTACTGTACGTGTATGGGAGGTCGCTAGTGTTGAAGGAAATGGAGGCCAATGGACTAATAAGATTATTCATTCCAGTGACAGTTTCTTAAATTCGATTAGTTACGACCATGATGAAGGTTTGATCTATTTTGGTGGTAAGGATTCATTGGTAAATGCCAAATCTGTATTTTCTGAGGTTGGTGAAGATCCGATATTAACTTTAGTTGGCCACGGGGGAAATGTTTGTTCTTTACGTTTACAACAAGGTACTCTTATAAGTGGAAGTTGGGATAAGACTTCAAGAGTTTGGAGCCAAGGGGTTGAACGTTATGTATTAAAGGGTCATACTGCTTCGGTTTGGGATGCATGTCCTGTTCCTCATTTTGATGGAACTCTACAAGATGTATTCATTACAGCTTCCGCAGATAAAACAGTTAGGCTTTGGAAGAAAGACCAACAAGTTCAATGTTTTACTGGAATTCATGAAGATGTTATCAGAAAAGTTTCAGTACTAGACAATGGTAGAAAATTTGTCACCGCCTCAAACGATACTACTATTAAGATTTGCGATCTCGAGACAGGATCTGTATTAAAGACTCTTTCTGGCCATGAAAGCTTTGTCTACAGTGTAATTATTTCCCCTAAAAGTAAAGAATTGATTAGTTGTGGTGAAGACAGATCTGTTAGAATTTGGTCTTACGAAGGTGATGTGCAACAAGTTATAAGGTTACCAGCTATCTCAATATGGTGTGTTGACGTATTACCTAATGGCGATATTATTGTAGGATCAAGTGATAACACAATCAGGATTTTTACCAGGGATTCTGCAAAAATTGCATCGAAGGAAGAAATTGATGAATTTGAGAAATCAGTGGCTAATTTTTCACTAAGTTCAAAAACAATGGATTTTGATGAATCAAAATTGTCCCCATACGAAATATTACAACAGCCTGGTAAAAAAGAAGGCCAAGTAGCAGTAGTGAAATCACCTACTGGAGTAATTGAAGCTTATCAATTCTCTCAAGGAAAATGGAGTAAAGTAGGGGATGTTGTCTCTTCAGGCTCTGGTGGTAACGATAGTAAAATAGAATTTGAAGGAAATTTATACGATTATGTTTTTGATGTAGATATCGAAGAAAATAAGCCTCCACTAAAATTACCTGTAAATGCAAATGATAACCCCTACACTTTAGCCGATAATTTCATTACACGATATGAACTACCTTCAAGTTACCGAGATCAAATAGTTAATTTCATTATTAAGAATACGGGTGGTGTTTCTTTAGATGCGCCAACAAATGAAGGTAATTTATCGAATTACAAGGTATTACCTGTAAAAAGATATTTATCAATTTTGAACTTTAAGCCTGATTCTATCTTCAGCGGTATAGTGAAACTAAACCAACAGGAGATGACATTTGATGATGAATCATTAGCGGAAATTGGTGCCGCATTACATGATATAGATCATGGCTGGGAATTACTAGCAAATGTAGCAGATACGATGAGGACTTCTTGGAAAAATAAGGTCCCGGCTTTTGATATAATGAGAGTAATTGTTACAAAATTACCTAATTCCACAGATATTAGTAAATTCGTCGAAGAAGGCTTGGATAATAAGAATATATCGATTGCTATGCTAACGGTTCGATTGTTGAATAACTGTTTTGAAAACAAAATTTGGGGCATGAATCTAATGGGCTCTTCTAATGTAAAGGAGTCGATATTTGAAACTATTGGTACAATATTCCCGGATGCCACTAGACAACAGTCTGCAAATTATGCAGTAGCTGTATCGACATTACTATTAAATTATACAATCCTATTAGTACAAGATAATTCTCATATGGACGTTTTACATCTTTTAGCAGATGCTATAAACAGTAAATTCAGTCCTCTTGAAGAATTTCAAGGTAGTGAAGAAGCTGCTTATAGATTAGCAGTAGCTTACGGTAATTTGTCCACGATAGATCCAACTCTAAAGAAATTTGCAAATTCGGTGGTTTGGTTAAAGAATGTTAAAATAAAATATAATAACGTTCCTAGATTCAATGATTTGTTTTCTGACCTTTCCCTTTAAACAATTTTTGAAGCAGGATCAAACTTCAAATAAAGGCCTATAATTATTTTACAACAATAAAAGAAAGTGTTATGATTAATACGTCATTTTGAATAAAACATCTATGTCTTTCTGTTTAACTCTAACAGCTATTTAGCTGAAGGCACTGGATTTTTCTGAATTTAAAAAATATTACTGCCATTAATATCTAGAAATATTACGTAAATATCGAGATTGAATCACAACTTATATAAATCATACATACCACGATTAATATAAACAAATCTTTATTATCCAATTAGTTATACATTGGACCAAATTATAAATTAAGCCTATTGAAGTCATCGCTTTTCTTCTTTCAAAATTTCACTGAGACAATTTCGATGATATAAAAAGGCTCATTCAATTTAGAATCAAATATCGAAACTTTATATGATTTACTAAACAATAACTTAAATGCAGTTCGTTACAACGTTTGAAGTAAATATAGTTCAATTGTATAATTTCAAATTGTGTATTTTAATAGCATCAGTAGTTGTGGTAAATTTTAATTTTTGTCTGAATGGATAATCGGTCTAGGAATTATAGGATTGCTATAGATAGGGGCGGGACTTTTACTGATTGTATTGGTAATCCCGGTACTGGTAAACATGAAGATGATGTAGTAATTAAACTGTTATCTGTGGATCCTCAGAACTATCCAGATGCTCCATTGGAAGGGATAAGAAGGCTATTAGAAGTATTTGAAGGGAAAAAAATTCCTAGAAACATTCCTTTAGATATTAGCAAAGTTCAAAGCATTAGAATGGGGACTACATTGGCTACTAATTGTGCATTAGAAAGGAATGGTGAAAGATGTGCATTAATTACAACGAAAGGTTTCAGAGATATTTTAAAAATTGGTGATCAAACGAGGCCAAATATTTTTGATTTAGAAATCAGACGTCCAAAGCCTGTATATGATGTCGTCCTCGAAGTAGATGAAAGAATTACCTTGGAGGATTATTCTGAGGATCCATTAACACGTAAATCAAATCCTAATCATATGAAAGGTACTTATAAAGGAAAAAGTGGTGAAATAATAAGAGTTTTAAAAACACCAGATGAGAATTCAGTAAGATCGATGTTGAGTATATTATATAGCTCCGGTATCCGCTCAATTGCAGTAGCTTTCTTGTATTCTTACACATATCCTGATCATGAAGAGTTTGTGGGTAATATTGCTCAGGAAATTGGGTTTAAGCATGTTTCACTTTCTTCTGAAATTTCACCTATGATTAAATTTTTGCCCAGAGCTCATAGTGCAGTAGCAGATGCTTATCTAACACCCGTCATTAAATCTTACCTCGAAAGTATTTCTAAAGGGTTGAAAAATTCAGCAAATACAAGTATTCAATTCATGCATTCTGATGGTGGACTAGTAGATGCTAGTAATTTTTCAGGTTTAAAATCAATTCTATCTGGACCAGCAGGTGGTGTTGTTGGTTACTCAAATACCAGTTATGATGCAGAAAATCAAATTCCACTAATTGGATTCGATATGGGAGGGACCTCGACCGATATTAGTAGATTTGGTAACGGGAAATTTGATCATATTTTTGAAACCGTGACAGCAGGGATTGTTATCCAATCACCTCAGTTAGATATCCATACAGTTGCTGCAGGAGGTAGCTCAAGATTATTTTGGGAGAATGGTCTTTTTCGTGTCGGTCCTGAATCTGCCACGGCAGATCCTGGCCCTTCTTGTTATCGTAAGGGTGGTCCATTGACTATTACTGACGCAAACTTATATCTTGGGCGTTTAATTCCTGAATTATTTCCCAAGATATTTGGCCCCAATGAGGATCAATCTTTGGATTATGAGATCACTTGCAAAAAATTTGATGATTTAAGAGATATCATTAACAGAGATCTTGGTAGTCATTTATCTACTGATGATGTAGCTTATGGGTTTATTAAGGTTGCCAACGAATCTATGGCTCGTCCTATCAGGGCTATTACAGAAGCAAAAGGGTATAATGTTTCTGATCATAGATTAGTTGCATTTGGTGGTGCTGGTGGACAACATGCTGTTTCAGTAGCCAAATCTCTTGGTATTGGCACCATATTAGTTCATAGATACTCATCGATTTTATCAGCCTACGGTATATTTTTGGCCGATATAGTTGAAGAAAAACAAGAGCCATGTTCTTATATATTATCGGATTCTAATATTGGCAATTTCCTTGAAAAGAAATTTTCCACTATGATTGATAATTGTAAGATGATATTAAAAAGGCAAGATATTGATGAGAATAATATTAAAATTGAAAAATATTTAAATTTAAGATATGAAGGAACAGAAACTGGCTTGATGACATTGCAAAAAAGTAAAGAATGGAAATTTGAAGAATGGTTTGAACAGAATCATAAGAGAGAATTTGGGTTTGCTTTTAATAATAAGAAGATTATCGTTGATGACATTAGAGTAAGAGCTATTGGTAAAACAAAAATTAGGAAAGAAGACACAGTCGATACGCAGTTGAATAAATATCAAAACTTGGATATTGATACTAAAAATTATGCTTCATTATTTAAAGATATTTACTTCGAAGGCGGAAGAATTTCAACTCCTGTTTTCAACATCAGTAACTTACCTTTAGGAAGCATAATTTCTGGACCAGCAGTTTTAGCAGATAATACTCAGACCAATATCATACCACCTAATACTGAAGCAAAAATTTTGAAAACACATGTATATATTAAAATATTGGAGAGAAATGAGTTAGAAAATAGATTTTTGGATTCGATAAACCCAATTTTATTGTCGATATTCAGTCATAGATTCATGGATATTGCAGAACAAATGGGAACCCAGTTACGTAAAACAGCAGTATCGACAAATGTCAAAGAAAGGCTTGATTTTTCATGTGCCCTATTTGATGCAGATGGAAACTTGGTCGCTAATGCACCACATGTACCCGTTCATTTAGGTTCGATGTCAACTTGCATAAGACTACAAGCTGAACATTGGAAGAACAAATTGAAACCAGGAGATGTTATTGTTACCAATCACCCTGATATGGGAGGAACCCATTTGCCAGATATTACTGTCATTTCTCCAAATTTTTCATCTGACGGTGAGCTTTTGTTTTATGTGGCATCTAGAGCGCATCATGCTGAAATTGGTGGTATATTACCAGGATCTGTTCCTCCAAACTCAAAGGAATTATATGAAGAAGGTGCCATAGTTTATTCTGAATTATTGGTATCGGGATATGTTTTTCAAGAAGAACTTGTTTATAAATTATTTGTCGATGAACCGGCTAAATACCCAAATTGCTCTGGATCAAGAAGAATTAGTGATAATATCAGTGATTTGAAGGCCCAAGTAGCAGCTAACACCAAAGGCCTTCAATTATTGGAAAATCTTGTAACAGAATATAGTCCGAATATTGTTTTAAAGTATATGGTGGCAATTCAAGATAATGCATGTGATACAATCAAGAGAACTCTGGAACAACTAGTTAAACATTTTGGAAAATCTGTCTTTTCGGGACATGATTATATGGATGACGGTTCCAAAATCGAATTATCAATTAGATTGGATATCGAAAAGGAGAAATATTTATTTGATTTTTCTGGAACATCTCCTCAAGTTTATGGCAACTTGAATGCTCCGGAAGCAATAACCAATTCGGCAATTTTATATTGTTTGAGATGTTTAGTTGGCGAAGATATCCCTCTAAATCAAGGTTGTCTAAAACCAATAACAATAAAAATTCCAAAGGGTTCCATTCTTTCTCCAAATAAGGGAGCTGCAGTTGTAGGTGGGAACGTGTTGACTTCTCAGCGTGTTACCGATGTGATTTTGAAAACGTTTGGTATAATGGCAGATTCACAAGGTGATTGTAATAATTTTACATTTGGTACAGGTGGTGGAAAAGACAAAGATGGGAATCTATTAAATGGATTTGGCTATTATGAAACAATATGTGGTGGTGCCGGTGCTGGTTTACCATCTTGGAGAAGTGATGGTTGGAACGGTGCTAGTGCCGTACACACCAATATGACAAATACCAGAATGACTGATACCGAAGTTCTTGAGAGAAGGTACCCAGTTCTTTTAAGAGAATTTTCTATAAGGAAAGGCTCTGGGGGTAATGGTAAATACAATGGTGGTGATGGTGTGATAAGAGACATAGAATTTAGAGAAATCATTACAGCCTCAATTCTTTCCGAAAGACGGGTTTTGGCACCACAAGGCATTAATGGAGGTCAAAATGGTAAACGAGGTAAAAATTTATGGATTAGAAAAGATACTGGTGCTGTGATCAATGTTGGGGGTAAAAACACATTTGTTGCAAATATTGGTGATAGATTTATTATTCAGACACCAGGTGGGGGAGGGTGTGGATTCGAATAAGTGGACAAACGTTGTCGATTTTATTTTCTATGTGTACAAAATTGTGAATTACATAGTAAATTTCTTTTTCAAGATTTTCAGATATACATTTAGGTAAATATGCAAACAGCTAAATAGACTTCAAAAAAGGAAATGGAAGGAAAGTGCAATGGTGGTTGATCCTAGTCTAGAGATAAATTACTAATTTAAATTGGCTTTAATAGTATGGCCAAATTAATAAATAATTTTTCTATCGTTTGCCTTACTTGCGTTTTGATCTTAATTGCCTCTTTCTGCGTTGATTCCCAATACCATTATTCACATTTCCATTCACTTCACCATCATTTATCACCACTCGCTTCCTTCTAGTAGGTTGTCCCGCAGATGTAGGAGTATGAGTAGCATTAAAATTATTCGTCCATTGCTTTTCATTTTGAGATATCTCATTCCTTGATGAGACAGACAATAACTTCAACAACTGTTCCTTGAGCTCTTTAAGCTCATTGACCATTTCTAGTGTTATATAAGAAGGAAGTATCGACAGATTCTCTTGCCTATTATAGTAATCATCTATCAATTTATGTGCTTGTATTTTCCTGGTTTGGGGGACAGATTGGTATATATTCGAAATAGTTTGTCTTATAGAATCATATTCCTTCGAAAGGGAGGGAGGTTGCATTACTGCTTCCAGGAATCCAGTCGACATATTAAAACTTATTTTGGACAAGGCCTTCGATTTCAATAAAGTTGTAATAAAATATTCTGCAAGGTTAAAGCAATTGCCATCGGAAGCGAGGTTAATTGTAGAATTTTCTGATTCTACTCCATTAGGTGTTGGATATTTCTTACAGAGTTGATACTGAGTACTGCCAAGAGTATATGTGGTAGTGGTATTTTCATTTCATCTGCTATTATTGATATTATTATTTAAACGGTTAGTGCCATTAGCATCCCCAGCGAGTACTTTCTCTTTGATAGTGTAGAATTCCAATCGATGATTAGGACAGGCTAATATCAATTTCTCTCTATATAGCTTTCTGTCAGCATCAGTAATTGAACTCGCAGTAAAAAGTTCTCTCATAAATTTCAATTGCAGGTACAACTCTTATCACTGGTAATGTTAACACTGGTAATTCATTCCAAGATATAACTCTTAAATCTTTCATTATCTAAGGTATAGAGAGAGAGTCGACACGTTCTCCTCTTTATTCCAATATTACCTTTATACAGCTTCATGACGTTCTTTTTACTCTAACAAAGCAAACATTTCTATTATTTTAATTACAACTATATATATTCCACGTAATATTATTACACGAGCAAAATCTGTAATCTTTAATTACCCTAAAATGTGCTTGGTATTGTCAATTTATTTAAGGTGAATGACCCCCGTTCGACGATATTTGATAATTCATTTTATATCAGAGATATACAGCATTAATGTACCATATATATTCCTCAAAATATTGCTAATTAATACCCATATATGTATAGAATAAAATCCAAAATTTCTTAATATTTGATGCAGATGTTTAGAGTTGCTTTTAATTTTCATACTACTACAAGACCAATATTATACAAATTCAATTAAATTTAGTATGTCCATATTATTTCAAAATCTAATTGATATTGTACCCTCTATATGGCTGTCAATTTAAGAACTCTAACAGAGTATCGCCGATTATTTTGCCAAAAGTACAAAAATAGTTTCCCAAGTAATTACTTTCATCTATTCATTATGATAAACTTGACATAAAACCCAATCACTATTCATGTATTAATACCTAATCTATCAAATATGTTTTGTATAGTTTTCATTAAGTACTCACATTAATGACCTCCGTGAAATTTTGGGAAATAGATAAGAAGCGACATACTGAAAACTACATTAGAAAGTAAAAGGATCGTGAAAAAATTACGTTATTAAGATTTGTAAAATCAAAAATTTTAAATTACCAAGACAAATTGGCATATCTTTCTCAGATATTTTTTTTACCATAAGGACCTTTTTCTCAAATGAGTAGAATTCAATTTTATTTTTTTTTCGCAAGAACGTAATTATCCATTACTGCTGGTGCTCCTGCTTTTCTCCTTAGCTTTGCCTTGATGTTTTTTGTTTTTATTTAAACAAAAATGTACATTTCCTTTCTTTTTTGATGTCTCTGCTTCCACGAACATCACATATTCCCAAAATAATAATAGTTTTATAGAAATTATTCCTAACAGTCCTTGACGATGCTCTTAGGAAACTTAAGAAGATGTAGCAATTGAGATCCCGGTTGCATTTCTAAGATTATATTACTCACAGTGATTCAATCATTTTGTCCTTCCTCTCGTTGCTTTGCAGTTCCTAAAAAAACTGCAATTGCTGTGCATTTTTATCAATTAAAATTTAAATATCCTTTAGTTTGTCCTGGTAATATCGATTTTGTCCATAGTAAACTTTTCAAGATTCCTTACTATACACGGATGCTACACGGAATTGAACTAAACTCCACCATTAAATGGATGCAGAGATTGGAGGTAGCATTACCACAACCGGAAAGTCGTATTCAAATTGTATTATTTTATTTCTTTTTCTGTCATTTTGTATCTCTCAAGAATTTCCATTTTCGGACACTCCTGCTCTGTTTCTTAAAAGTGTCCTTTTTTTCGAGTTTTTTGCACCTTTCTTCTTTTCACTTTCTCATTTTGTTAAATATGTTTAGATTATAGATTTCTACTTAATAATTTGTACTAATTGGAAAAAAAGTTTAACATTCATTTATTAAAAGAAATATTAGGTGGAACAATTTTAAGAAATAAAAAATAAAAAAGATGAAAGTACCCTGGAAGGTTAAGATTTGAAAATAATTTCTATGCTGAACGAATCGAATTGATCTCAATTCCATTGCTGCATCTCTTTCTTATAGTTCTTGTATTCTTTAGCTTCAGAAAAAGGTCATTATTTATGAATAATCTTGGTCTCTGCTACTTCTATTGTTTTTTGTTCCAATAATAATAATTAAAATAGTTTTAATGATTCCACGAAATTAATCGCAAATAATGATTGTAGAGATCAAGCAAAATTAGTTAGTCCATTCTTCTTCTTCCTGTCAAGGAAGACCAGCAACACGATGTATTACTAAATAAGCCAATGAGCAAATGACTTGTATGTTCGCCCTTCTGTTGTCGAGAGTGTCAGATTATTACTAGCTTCTTTCTATTTATGAATGTTTTTTTTCTATTTGAAATATTGTAATATGTATGTTAGTATTATTAAACTGGATCTTTCGAAGTTCTTTGCAGGAAATTCTCAGTCAATTTACTTTCTTCAATCCCCTTCTTCTTCCAAATGTCGACATCTCCAGAAAACAAGAAGTAAACCTCATAACAAATTTACAGAAGAAAATTTTAGAACATATTAAGAATATTCACTTTGCAGCAAATTACTAAAGTTCCTTCTTTAGAATTTTTTACTAAGAATGTTTATTGATTATATATAATAAAATGAGTTCCAAATCAAATAAAATTCATAAACTTGTTTTACTTTTATTGTTTTATTATATGTTATGAACATTTGAATAATCTCTAATTCAATCAACATATTAGTGTAGGAAATATCTAAACCACTTAGAAAATGTTCAGTTTTCTAAATGCTGGGCATAATGTTCTTGCATTATTATTGGTTTTGTTATCCTCCATTTCAATATGTACATCTGCATCTCTGACTTCAGTATTTACAACTTATTCAACTGAGTATGTGACTTTGACAAATGATCAAGGCTCAAAATATTTAGCAGCATATGTTAAAGTTAGTTTCTTGGGTTTAGCTACAACATCTTCCACGTATTCTGCTGGGGCACCGGGTACAACGTTTACCTTTTCAACAACTACTCTTTACTTTACTGATGACAATGGTGAAAAATACGTTGATACAGTGTACTTTATTCAAAAGCCTTTCTTTTACACGACAAAATCGAGTTACACTCCAGGTGCTGAGGGACTTACCAGTACCTTATCCACCTTAATTACAGTCAATACCGATAACAATGGTAATGAAACTACTGAAACTATATACTATATTCAAACCCCAAGTATTGTAGTTACCTCAACAAACTTTAAACCAGGGCCAGCTGGTCTAACTACCACATATGAAACTAGCCTTACAACTATACTGGGATCTGATGGTAAAGAGACTACAGAAGTCACTTTTTTCATCCAGACTCCTAGTATTACCACTGTATCAACCAAAATTATTGGTTCTTCAGTAAGCATGATTACTACTTATTCAACCACAATATATACTACCACAGGTGCTGATGGGCTTGTAACCACTGAAACCGTCTACTTTGTGCACACACCAATTATTCGTTCCACCTCTATCACATTCACAGCTGCCTCTGTTAGTTCTTCCACTACCTACTCCACATCATATACTACTTTCGTTGATGCCAGTGGTGTCGAAACAACTGAGACCGTTTACTATGTCAAGACCCCAATCATTGCCACTACCTCTACCAACTACCAGGCAGCTTCGGTAAGCTCAAATGAAACTTACTCGACTTCTGTTGCCACTGCCACTGGTACTGATGGGCTTGTAACCACTGAAACCGTCTACTTTGTGCACACACCAATTATTCGTTCCACCTCTATCACATTCACAGCTGCCTCTGTTAGTTCTTCCACTACCTACTCCACATCATATACTACTTTCGTTGATGCCAATGGTGTCGAAACAACTGAGACCGTTTACTATGTCAAGACCCCAATCATTGCCACTACCTCTACCAACTACCAGGCAGCTTCGGTAAGCTCAAATGAAACTTACTCGACTTCTGTTGCCACTGCCACTGGTACTGATGGGCTTGTAACCACTGAAACCGTCTACTTTGTGCACACACCAATTATTCGTTCCACCTCTATCACATTCATAGCTGCCTCTGTTAGTTCTTCCACTACCTACTCCACATCATATACTACTTTCGTTGATGCCAGTGGTGTCGAAACAACTGAGACCGTTTACTATGTCAAGACCCCAATCATTGCCACTACCTCTACCAACTACCAGGCAGCTTCGGTAAGCTCAAATGAAACTTACTCGACTTCTGTCACCACTATTTATGGACTTGACGGTTCTTATACAACTGAAACTGTCTACTTTGTGCACACACCAATTATTCGTTCCACCTCTATCACATTCACAGCTGCCTCTGTTAGTTCTTCCACTACCTACTCCACATCATATACTACTTTCGTTGATGCCAATGGTGTCGAAACAACTGAGACCGTTTACTATGTCAAGACCCCAATCATTGCCACTACCTCTACCAACTACCAGGCAGCTTCGGTAAGCTCAAATGAAACTTACTCGACTTCTGTCACCACTATTTATGGACTTGACGGTTCTTATACAACTGAAACTGTCTACTTTGTGCACACACCAATTATTCGTTCCACCTCTATCACATTCACAGCTGCCTCTGTTAGTTCTTCCACTACCTACTCCACATCATATACTACTTTCGTTGATGCCAGTGGTGTCGAAACAACTGAGACCGTTTACTATGTCAAGACCCCAATCATTGCCACTACCTCTACCAACTACCAGGCAGCTTCGGTAAGCTCAGATGAAACTTACTCGACTTCTGTTGCCACTGCCACTGGTACTGATGGGCTTGTAACCACTGAAACCGTCTACTTTGTGCACACACCAATTATTCGTTCCACCTCTATCACATTCACAGCTGCCTCTGTTAGTTCTTCCACTACCTACTCCACATCATATACTACTTTCGTTGATGCCAGTGGTGTCGAAACAACTGAGACCGTTTACTATGTCAAGACCCCAATCATTGCCACTACCTCTACCAACTACCAGGCAGCTTCGGTAAGCTCAAATGAAACTTACTCGACTTCTGTCACCACTATTTATGGACTTGACGGTTCTTATACAACTGAAACTGTCTACTTTGTGCACACACCAATTATTCGTTCCACCTCTATCACATTCACAGCTGCCTCTGTTAGTTCTTCCACTACCTACTCCACATCATATACTACTTTCGTTGATGCCAATGGTGTCGAAACAACTGAGACCGTTTACTATGTCAAGACCCCAATCATTGCCACTACCTCTACCAACTACCAGGCAGCTTCGGTAAGCTCAAATGAAACTTACTCGACTTCTGTTGCCACTGCCACTGGTACTGATGGGCTTGTAACCACTGAAACCGTCTACTTTGTGCACACACCAATTATTCGTTCCACCTCTATCACATTCATAGCTGCCTCTGTTAGTTCTTCCACTACCTACTCCACATCATATACTACTTTCGTTGATGCCAGTGGTGTCGAAACAACTGAGACCGTTTACTATGTCAAGACCCCAATCATTGCCACTACCTCTACCAACTACCAGGCAGCTTCGGTAAGCTCAAATGAAACTTACTCGACTTCTGTCACCACTATTTATGGACATGATGGTTCCTATACTACCGAAACTATCTATTTCGTCAATACGCCAATTATTCGTTCCATCTCATTCATTTATGGTGCTGGTTCTATCGACAAGCCAACCACATTCTCGACCGCAGTTAGTACGATAACTCATTTTGATGGTACTGAAATTACAGAAACAGTATATTACGTGAAGACTCCAATTAATGAAGTTTACTATACCGAAAAATTAGCTGCTTCCGTAATTGGTACCACTACATATTCTACTGCAAAAAGTATTACAACAGATTCCAACGGCGTGGAATTGACAAGAATAACATTTTACGTTCAAACACCAATTGTTATAATGACAAAATTGAATGTTACTGGTGCCTCAATTGAAGAGACTACTACATATTCGACTTTCGTTACTACTTTAACTGGAATCGACGGTAATGAAACAACCGATACAATATACTTTGTAAAAACTCCGATACACAATTTAGTCTCTACTCACTACCAAGGTGGTAGCTTTAATGGAACCAGTACCTATTCTACTTTCTTGACAACATTAACCGATGATGAGAGCAACGAAACGACGCACACTATTTACTACGTTCAAACACCAATTTCCAAAACGACAAAAATGGTTTTCACGCATGGTTTAGTTAGCTACACAACAACTTATTCTACTATTCTTACTACTGTGATTGAAAATGGATCCGAAGTTACCAGTACCATATACCTGGTAATGTTACCAGTATTTCAAACTGAAAAAACAAGTTTCATTGAAGGATCTAACACTTTATTGACGACGGCATCTACTTTGACAAAAACAGTTACAAAATCTAATGGAGATATTTACATTGAAACTATTTTTATAGTTCAGAAACAATCTTCTAATGCTCCTCTGGTTACCTCCTCTGTGGAAAGTGAACACTCAACAATTCAGAGTATTCAATTGACTAGTCAATTGGCTTATCACAATTCATCGAGCCAAATTTCGACTTTAGTTAACAATTTTGAAACAGTTACTGAAACTGAATTAAATACCGTCACATGTACTTCAACTTCATTATGTTCAACTTCAGAAAAAATAAAACCCTCTTCCTCTGAAACTATTACTTATTCGACCATAACAGATTCAGTTGGAAATGTTATTACACGAACAGTTACAGTGCCTTGTGCATATACCACCGCTGATTCCAAGAGTACTCATTATTTAACGACAACATCTATTTCCAAAAACTCTGCTTTAAATTCTCAATCTAATAATAGTAATGGAGAGGATATTTTGGGATCATCGACAACATCGATATTAAAAGTAACAGAAGTATCACCGACTTTTAGTTTTTCGGAAACAAGTATTGTTAAATCACATGTCACAACTACTAACGAAGCTATGATATCCCAAATTACAACTTATCATACTGTAGCTTCATCATTGTTTGTCAATACGACTAATACTATTCAAAGTTTTGAAGGTAAAGCTAATATAAATTCAGTTGGATATTTACTTTCTGTTGGGGTATCATTTATTTTGTGTGTTTTGTTCTGATATTCATTTAAGCAACATAACTCATTTTATATAAATTAAAGTATTCTCAAAGTATTGCAATTGTAATAAATATTTATTTTTATATCCCTAGTGTTATATCAACAAAAAGAAATTTTTTTATCTGAACTTGCGTATTTTTTTTTAACTAAACTACTTGAATTAAATTAAATTAAATTATATAGTATAAACTGTTTTTGGATTTTTGTATATTTCAAGTATTATTAGTTTCGGGTACTTGTGACAAATATAGTTCATTTATTTTCAATTGTTATTAAGGACAAAATAAAGCGCAGCGCAGCATATCACTATATCATAAATAGTATAAATAGATATATTGATACTGAAATAAGAACAGAATGATAATAGATTTGAACGGTATATGGAGGAAGAGTTTTTTTTGAATTTGAGTAAAATATGCTACATAACATTATATAATGGATTAAAATCAAGGTTTATATACAGAACCATAAAGTAAATAATTGATCACATATTTCTTTATGTGGATTTTAAGTGATGTAAATCAGGTGATCTCCTTATATGGTATTCTTTGTTGATCTCCATTTGAATCTTCAGTTTATATATATTTAGTAATTGTACGTTAAATAAATGCTGGTGTGGCTTTATTCTATTCGTCTGTATGGTGAAGACTAGTACTGGTTAATAAGTATATATATTAATAAAGAATTATATATCTTCTCTTTCTAATGTACAAAGTAAGAAAATAATATACAATAATATAGTCTCACAATGGATCAATAAATAAATAATAATAACTTCGAAACTGTTAACAGTTCCTTCTCAGTTTGGAATCTGTGTCAATATAGCTGTCAGAATTATGAGGTGACGCGTAAGCCATACTCATCACAACACTATTCATAAAGGATAAGGAAGTGTGACCTACACAAAAGTGTTCTTTCTGATATTAAAACTTTTCAAATACTGTATATAAGAAATGATAAGATCTTAATTGACACTTATCATATGAAATATATTTCCATGTGAATATTATATATTTTAATACACCGGATCAATATCAGCTCCACAATGATGTCCTTGGAAACAAATAAAGAATCTAACTTGATGAAGATGCAGTTAAGCAACAAACAAATGATTCTCTACAATTTCATCTCTATCAAATTTTAAATATCTTACAATGGTTATATAAAAGCACAATATTGTTCTATATCGGTAAGGTTAAAAAATTAATTTCTCAAAAATTATTCTTATAAAACAAAATCTAGATTAGATTACTTTACAGGTATAATGGATAATAGATATTATATAGCTCTGATATATTCCTGAAAGATGATAAATGTATTGCAACCCGTACTTAGAGTTTATCCTTTTGTTTTGCCATTTCCATTTTTTATTAAGGATCATAACGAAAAAAAACATTTTTAACAGAAATTTGTTACTAAACATAAAACAACTTTAAATACTTCTGGCTGAAAAGAACTAAAATAATACCTTCAATACGATATAATTTTATACAAAATTTACACAAACTTTATCATTAAATAAGTAGAGCATATAAATATTTCTTGAAGTAAAATAACCGTAACTGTTATCTTGAATGACCGTAACTGTTTCTAATCCAATTATTAGGAAATTGCAACGAAGATCCCAAGGGTAAAGGAGACAATATAATGACTATCTTACCATATTGATATACTAAAATTTCAGAAAAAAGATCTTATAGATGCAATCTTATTTAATTCCTACCAGCTATAAAAAGAAACAAATAACTTGTTGAGAAAAATGTTATCGTAATAGCTTTAGTTTAATTTTTAAGCAGAACCCTAAACTATTTTGCGCCGATCAATTTATATCTAAATTAAAGAATGGTTCAGACCTTATAAAGGTTTTGTTTACTAGATTAAATTGAATTTCTAAATCAACCTTCTCTTCTTACATTTATGTAGGTTCTTGGCTTCAGATCTGTACTTACAAGTGATCAACATAGTCCCATTGAAGAGTAATCTCGACAATTTTCCGATTAGAGTATATTGAAATAAAATGTTTCGAAAAAGTATTTAACTATTAATTTTTGTGTCAAGTTAGTCAATTGGAGGAATTTTTTTTTAACCTTTATGGATGCATTATAGGTTCTGTTATATAATGTAAAATGCGTTTTAATTAACACATCGTCCAATGCCCTGATATGCACCTTTATTGTAATTATTTACTAACAGAGTGAAATAAATATAGAATAAGGAAATACTAGCAAAAAGAAAAATCTTAAAACCTTATATTTCCAATATTGTAATCTTGATATTTGATTTTCCCGAGTCTAGGTTGATAGGACTATTAGATAATGAGTGATGTCCCTGTAATTATAATTATTCCGTTATATTACACCTCCACCATATGTATATATTCCTAAGTGGATATAAATAAATAGCAAATTAGAATCATAAAGTAAATCTTCAATACACATATACTTGTGTATGTGATATAATAATATTGTTATGGAGTTAGGAAAGATAAACTTGGAAAACAACCAGACCAATAAGAGATATGAACTATCCAGTTCCTCATTTAGATTTTAAGAGTCTAATCTAAAGTCTTCAAAGTAGTCCAATTTTATTACCAATTTTAGAACGGTTAATTGAGTTTCGCATCATTTGGACAATGACTTATTTCTATCCATTCTCAAATTCTTGTTTATAAACGTTTTAAAAAATTACAGGATTCTTCTTTGGTCAAAATTGTTTCATCAAGCTTTTGGAAAAAGAGTATCATTTCATAGTATTTCATTCTACAAACAGCATAATAGATCGATTGTTCATCCGATAGTTTGTGATAACCTTTGACTAAGAACTGACTTTTCTATCAAGGGTAGTTAAGCAGAATGCTATAATTAATTGTAAAATGTGTCACTATCATAGTTGAGAGCATAAATAACTAAATCAAGGTTTAGAACAAAGTAAACATTCAAAGTTTCCGAAGTTTTGAAAAAATATTTAGAGATTGATAACAGGGCAACTTTAAATAATTCACTATATAAGGACTATAAATATCTTAGTTACTCAAACTATTGTTAAAATTATTATTTTAAGGAGAATTATTCCTTTTCAGAATCATATTCAAAACAACTTAAAACAATGTAATTCAGTTGACATATCAAGTTATCTATGATTTTAGGAATTCAATAACCTAAGAAAGAAAATAATGTTTTTCAGTAAAATATTTGCGTTTAATTCTTAATCATCTCTCTAGAATGTTATGAGTACTCAATTCCATCCCAATCTCTCCTTACTGTATTTTCTAGATCAGGAAAAACCTTCGATATGGTAGCATTTCGATCCCATTCTATTATTGTATGTGAATGTTAATTCCATTTCATAACTAATCCTCATAAAATTCCATTTGGTCGAACACGAATTCTCAACTCTACAAAAGTATTGAAATTGCTAATAATGGTTTTTATTGTGAAGAATTTACCCATGGGTTTTGTCAATAACATAAAAAAACCGATTTTACCTTTTTTGAGAAAGGAATACTTACCATTTGATTATATACATATAAATATTCTTTAGAGATTACTATTGGTTTCATTTCAAAAATATCATTTGCCATGGAAATGAATCCATTACATATTTTAAACAGAATATAATAGGTTACCCCAGACCAGTTTCTTACTTCCACCTCATAATTTAATTCGTTCACATCTAATTTTATTAAAATATACTGTAACAAAGTGGGAAATTTAATATCCATCATTAATGGGTTTCTTAAGTTCTATTTTTAAAAATAGTTTATTTTTCAATTATCTTCAAAATAAATATAAGATATCCATTCGAACCGTTATTATTTCGAAATTTGTATTTGATAAGTGATTTCAAGAGATTTTAACACCATAAATGCTCTTCATTTTTCAAACATATGAACTCAGATATTCTTATTATTAAATTGGCACCAATTCAACATGGAGGCACATCATTTTTAATTGTTAATAGACAGAAACAATTGCGATAGTATTTTAAATTTTTGTTTATCAAGTATTATTGGGCTGCAAATTGTAGATTTATTTTTGGCTAACAATATTAATCCGATTTTATGGATTGGTATGGGCTTAATGTTTCTATTTAAAGAATACAAAAACGTTGCGAAAGTTCACTGACCTAATATTTTAAAATAACTAATAAAAAACGAGCCTTTTACAACTATGAGCGATAAGTTTGGAAATAGTTAGATGTGAGAGGATAGGATTTGCACCTAATAAAACTTGAAATTTAGATAAAAAACACACCCAACAACTATTTATAATTGTAGATTATTCAATTACCTTCTGCTTCAATCTTGAAGTATATCCAACACCACAAATCTATAACTATCATTCCTTGTAATCAAACTATAGGAATTCACTTTCCATCAATTTCGCTTAGGGATATATTATATCTAAATTTCACATCATATAAAAATAACAAATAAAAATATTGATGGTATCTCACTTAGGATTAAGTATTCTTATCCACTATTACTGAAAGCAGTTGTTCTCATTTCATTTTATTAATAAGTGGATAATACGGTATGCTATTACAAACAGATAGCCCAGCTTATTAGCTAATTTTACTCAATAAGGAAAATAGTGTTATTTAAATTTTATTAGCATATAATTATTTGAAGTACTCTATCTAATTTTAAATTGGAAATTATTTTACTGTTGTTTTGAATGTTGTGGTGGACTTAAATTGCGTAGTCATTTCAGGATAATGGAATAGGATATAGTCCTGCGCAGTGAGTGGTAAACAAATTACGTATATTTATTTGCTTACCGATAATTTTTTTTTTCTTGAGTTACAGTTTTGAAGTAGCTCAATTATTCAATTTTTATACAATATTTTAGAGATAATAATATATGTATAATATTGAGTTTCCTTAAAAATATATAACCTTATTGCATAACTCTGAAGCATTACCAACAATTCGATTACAATTAAATGGAGAGAGATTCTACACTTACTAAAACACTGTATTGTTAAAGTAACCAGTCATACGTAAAATAGTTTAGAATAAGAGGCGACTGGACTATAGAGCCTTTGGTCAGTAAAATTGTGCCTTATTTCTCACCAGAAGTGGCACTTTTTTTAAGTATGTAAAGGAAAACAAAGAAAAAAGGAAATATAACCAAAAAAGAAATTATAATATCAGAGAAAACCCGGATTATTTTTATTAGAGAAAATCCGAATATTTTGTTTCTATTGTGAAATTTTTCTTCCCAATCTTGTCAAGGGTTTATGGGTACTGTTAATAATCGTTTCTTATTAAAAAAAGTTTTATTTATATGTGTCATAAGATAATACATGCATACAAAAAAACATTACGTATATTTTCCAAGTGTTGAAAAACAAAAAGTGAGGGGCTAAAAGAATATCAAGGTGAAGAAATCTTCATTTATAATAAGTATCTTTAATTAGTTGTCTTCGGAGTTTTTTCACGGCAAGAATGAATCTTTATCTCTGCCTAGTTGTATTCAGGGAAAGGAAGGACATAAATATCTAAGTATATAGTGTGATATGTGTAAAGTAGTTTAAATACCAGATCCTTATATTGAATGAAATGCTACCCTTTCAATTTTATTACCTTTGAGACAAATTATTAAATGAATTTGATAAGAGTCGCCAAACATTCAAATTGTTAAAGGACCTGTATAAAATGCAATTTATCATTAATAATATATGTTCACGTACTTTTTTTAAAAATGCAAAAGATAAATAAACATATTAAGCATCTCTTCTAATTATTTTGAATACTCTGGGTAAAATGTTATTGGAAAAAACAGGATAAATATATAAAATAATTGCAATGTTAATATTTTTAAAAATGGAAAAACTTTATACTAGCAAATGAATCCAACACTTCAACTAGTTGTTAGATATATGGCTTGTGTAGGGATATTCGACACTTGCTTATTTAATTATAATCATGAATACGATAGAAAAAATGATAGTTATCATAATGACATAAAATATTATTGTTCTTCTAGATGAATACTTTGTGTATAAACCATAACATCAATAGTATAGCTTTCCCATGTACTGCATTTTCGAGTCAAATTTCTTGTTCTAGGGTATTCAACTGTATAATAAACTATTTCGTAATAAATATAGACAATGTTCACCTCCTCAAGTCCTAAAGAACAGGGATATTGCTATATTAACATGCACATTTATGCAATAATCGATCAACGTTTTAGAATTTCGGAAAAATATTTTTCACTGGTCACTGCAACTACGAAAATATTTACTCGTATCAATTGATATATGTTATATTGGCAAACCTCCCCGAAAAACAGTCTTACAGATATCTTGTTTAATAATGCATACGTAAGTCAGTCTTGCTACTATTCATGTTATCATACAATGCTTGTTCGAAGTATGTTAAATATTTTAAAAGATGGAATATTACTAGCATCCTTTTTAAGAGTAATCTGTCTCTAGAGAATCTTAGAGAAATCATTTTTAGTAATTCTAATTTCCACCTGTTCACCAAGGGATCCTTTCTCTACCGCATACACAAAATTTGTTACCGGACCTTATGCATATCCACTTTTTTGAATTATTAATTTTCTTAGTTCAAATGAGTGCATATAACTAAATCTCCAAATTTATCAATAAATTGTTTCCTTTATTAGATTCTTGCATTAAATATCATACTTCTATTAAGCACTTTACTCGAATAATATTAAAACTATTTTAACAGAAGAAACTTTTGCAGAGATTCCATTATGAACGTGATAAAATCCTCAAATATTTTACATCATAAACATTACTATATAAGAGACGAATTGTGATGACAGAAATAATGAACATTTTTTACTTTGTATCAATCAAATAGCAAAACAGCTAAAAGATAAAAATAGTCGATCAAACAATTCAAAAAGAATGAAGTTTCAAAATTATTTTTACTTAAGTATATTATTGCTATTTATCCATTTAGGACTAGTAAATAGTAAACCACAAGTATATAAAACTCAACCTTGGACAGGTCTATACCGCACAACATTCTACATTGAATATTATACCGTTTACAGACACCACTATTTTAAGAGAATTGTGACAGTCTATCATATTGGGACTCCGGGTATCCACATTTCCGAAACAATCACCTCCTATCAAAGTAACATCAATACTAAATCTACTTCCATTAATGTAAGAACAGTTCCAGGTTACAATGGTCACAAGTACACATACTATTATACAGAAATCATATATATCCCAAAAAAATTATCAACAACAACAATCTATACTAGTGTTTCAACCTACACTGGAACAACATTGCAAACTGTGAAAACCATAACAAAAGTAGATAATGGAGCAAATGGAATAACAACACTTTATGAATACATTGTAGAACTCGCACATCCACCACCACTGCCAAAACCTTATACAACTAAAATTAAAAAACCTACAACTACTATTACGGAAATAATATCCTTTTACAGCACTACCAATGCCGCCGGTAAAAAAATATTAAGCTCAACAATATACACCATAAAACCTCTATCAGTTCCAGCTGCTTACACAACCGAAGTAGTATCAGGATCATCCACTGCTACCGAAGTCGTTTCCTTCTACAGCACCACCAATTCCGCTGGTGACGAAGTTCTGGCTTCTACCACCTACACCCTAGGTCCTCTATCAGTTCCAGCTGCTTACACAAGCGAAGTAGTATCAGGATCATCTACTGCTACAGAAGTCGTATCCTTCTACAGCACCACCAATTCCGCTGGTGACGAAGTTGTGGCTTCTACCACCTACACCCTAGGTCCTCTATCAGTTCCAGCTGTTTACACAACCGAAGTAGTATCAGGATCATCTACCGTTACCGAAGTCGTTTCCTTCTACAGCACCACCAATTCCGCTGGTGACGAAGTTCTGGCTTCTACCACCTACACCCTAGGTCCTCTATCAGTTCCAGCTGTTTACACAACCGAAGTAGTATCAGGATCATCTACTGCTACAGAAGTCGTTTCCTTCTACAGCACCACCAATTCCGCTGGTGACGAAGTTGTGGCTTCTACCACCTACACCCTAGGTCCTCTATCAGTTCCAGCTGTTTACACAACCGAAGTAGTATCAGGATCATCTACTGCTACAGAAGTCGTTTCCTTCTACAGCACCACCAATTCCGCTGGTGACGAAGTTCTGGTTTCTACCACCTACACCCTAGGTCCTCTATCAGTTCCAGCTGTTTACACAACCGAAGTAGTATCAGGATCATCTACTGCTACAGAAGTCGTTTCCTTCTACAGCACCACCAATTCCGCTGGTGACGAAGTTGTGGCTTCTACCACCTACACCCTAGGTCCTCTATCAGTTCCAGCTGTTTACACAACCGAAGTAGTATCAGGATCATCTACTGCTACAGAAGTCGTTTCCTTCTACAGCACCACCAATTCCGCTGGTGACGAAGTTCTGGTTTCTACCACCTACACCCTAGGTCCTCTATCAGTTCCAGCTGTTTACACAACCGAAGTAGTATCAGGATCATCTACTGCTACAGAAGTCGTTTCCTTCTACAGCACCACCAATTCCGCTGGTGACGAAGTTCTGGTTTCTACCACCTACACCCTAGATCCTCTATCAGTTCCAGCTGTTTACACAACCGAAGTAGTATCAGGATCATCTACTGCTACAGAAGTCGTATCCTTCTACAGCACCACCAATTCCGCTGGTGACGAAGTTGTGGCTTCTACCACCTACACCCTAGGTCCTCTATCAGTTCCAGCTGCTTACACAAGTGAAGTAGTATCAGGATCATCTACTGCTACAGAAGTCGTATCCTTCTACAGCACCACCAATTCCGCTGGTGACGAAGTTCTGGCTTCTACCACCTACACCCTAGGTCCTCTATCAGTTCCAGCTGTTTACACAACCGAAGTAGTATCAGGATCATCTACCGTTACCGAAGTCGTTTCCTTCTACAGCACCACCAATTCCGCTGGTGACGAAGTTCTGGTTTCTACCACCTACACCCTAGATCCTCTATCAGTTCCAGCTGTTTACACAACCGAAGTAGTACCAGGATCATCTACTGCTACAGAAGTCGTATCTTTCTACAGCACCACCAATTCCGCTGGTGACGAAGTTCTGACTTCTACCACCTACACCCTAGGTCCTCTATCAGTTCCAGCTGTTTACACAACCGAAGTAGTATCAGGATCATCTACTGCTACAGAAGTCGTTTCCTTCTACAGCACCACCAATTCCGCTGGTGACGAAGTTGTGGCTTCTACCACCTACACCCTAGGTCCTCTATCAGTTCCAGCTGTTTACACAACCGAAGTAGTATCAGGATCATCTACTGCTACCGAAGTCGTATCTTTCTACAGCACCACCAATTCCGCTGGTGACGAAGTTGTGGCTTCTACCACCTACACCCTAGGTCCTCTATCAGTTCCAGCTGTTTACACAAGCGAAGTAGTATCAGGATCATCTACTGCTACCGAAGTCGTATCCTTCTACAGCACCACCAATTCCGCTGGTGACGAAGTTGTGGCTTCTACCACCTACACCCTAGGTCCTCTATCAGTTCCAGCTGCTTACACAAGTGAAGTAGTATCAGGATCATCTACTGCTACAGAAGTCGTTTCCTTCTACAGCACCACCAATTCCGCTGGTGACGAAGTTGTGGCTTCTACCACCTACACCCTAGGTCCTCTATCAGTTCCAGCTGTTTACACAAGCGAAGTAGTATCAGGATCATCTACTGCTACAGAAGTCGTATCTTTCTACAGCACCACCAATTCCGCTGGTGACGAAGTTCTGGTTTCTACCACCTACACCCTAGGTCCTCTATCAGTTCCAGCTGTTTACACAACCGAAGTAGTATCAGGATCATCTACCGTTACCGAAGTCGTTTCCTTCTACAGCACCACCAATTCCGCTGGTGACGAAGTTCTGGTTTCTACCACCTACACCCTAGATCCTCTATCAGTTCCAGCTGTTTACACAACCGAAGTAGTATCAGGATCATCTACTGCTACAGAAGTCGTATCCTTCTACAGCACCACCAATTCCGCTGGTGACGAAGTTGTGGCTTCTACCACCTACACCCTAGGTCCTCTATCAGTTCCAGCTGTTTACACAACCGAAGTAGTATCAGGATCATCTACTGCTACAGAAGTCGTTTCCTTCTACAGCACCACCAATTCCGCTGGTGACGAAGTTCTGGTTTCTACCACCTACACCCTAGGTCCTCTATCAGTTCCAGCTGCTTACACAAGTGAAGTAGTATCAGGATCATCTACTGCTACAGAAGTCGTATCTTTCTACAGCACCACCAATTCCGCTGGTGACGAAGTTGTGGCTTCTACCACCTACACCCTAGGTCCTCTATCAGTTCCAGCTGCTTACACAAGTGAAGTAGTATCAGGATCATCTACTGCTACAGAAGTCGTATCCTTCTACAGCACCACCAATTCCGCTGGTGACGAAGTTCTGGCTTCTACCACCTACACCCTAGGTCCTCTATCAGTTCCAGCTGCTTACACAAGCGAAGTAGTATCAGGATCATCTACTGCTACAGAAGTCGTATCCTTCTACAGCACCACCAATTCCGCTGGTGACGAAGTTGTGGCTTCTACCACCTACACCCTAGGTCCTCTATCAGTTCCAGCTGCTTACACAACCGAAGTAGTATCAGGATCATCTACTGCTACAGAAGTCGTATCTTTCTACAGCACCACCAATTCCGCTGGTGACGAAGTTCTGGCTTCTACCACCTACACCCTAGGTCCTCTATCAGTTCCAGCTGTTTACACAACCGAAGTAGTATCAGGATCATCTACTGCTACAGAAGTCGTTTCCTTCTACAGCACCACCAATTCCGCTGGTGACGAAGTTGTGGCTTCTACCACCTACACCCTAGGTCCTCTATCAGTTCCAGCTGTTTACACAACCGAAGTAGTATCAGGATCATCTACTGCTACCGAAGTCGTATCCTTCTACAGCACCACCAATTCCGCTGGTGACGAAGTTCTGGCTTCTACCACCTACACCCTAGGTCCTCTATCAGTTCCAGCTGCTTACACAAGCGAAATAGTATCAGGATCATCTACTGCTACAGAAGTCGTATCCTTCTACAGCACCACCAATTCCGCTGGTGACGAAGTTGTGACTTCTACCACCTACACCCTAGGTCCTCTATCAGTTCCAGCTGTTTACACAACCGAAGTAGTATCAGGATCATCTACCGTTACCGAAGTCGTTTCCTTCTACAGCACCACCAATTCCGCTGGTGACGAAGTTGTGGCTTCTACCACCTACACCCTAGGTCCTCTATCAGTTCCAGCTGTTTACACAACCGAAGTAGTATCAGGATCATCTACTGCTACAGAAGTCGTATCCTTCTACAGCACCACCAATTCCGCTGGTGACGAAGTTGTGGCTTCTACCACCTACACCCTAGGTCCTCTATCAGTTCCAGCTGTTTACACAACCGAAGTAGTATCAGGATCATCTACTGCTACAGAAGTCGTATCCTTCTACAGCACCACCAATTCCGCTGGTGACGAAGTTCTGGTTTCTACCACCTACACCCTAGGTCCTCTATCAGTTCCAGCTGTTTACACAACCGAAGTAGTATCAGGATCATCTACCGTTACCGAAGTCGTTTCCTTCTACAGCACCACCAATTCCGCTGGTGACGAAGTTCTGGTTTCTACCACCTACACCCTAGATCCTCTATCAGTTCCAGCTGTTTACACAACCGAAGTAGTATCAGGATCATCTACTGCTACCGAAGTCGTATCTTTCTACAGCACCACCAATTCCGCTGGTGACGAAGTTGTGGCTTCTACCACCTACACCCTAGGTCCTCTATCAGTTCCAGCTGTTTACACAACCGAAGTAGTATCAGGATCATCTACTGCTACCGAAGTCGTATCCTTCTACAGCACCACCAATTCCGCTGGTGACGAAGTTGTGGCTTCTACCACCTACACCCTAGGTCCTCTATCAGTTCCAGCTGCTTACACAAGTGAAGTAGTATCAGGATCATCTACTGCTACAGAAGTCGTATCTTTCTACAGCACCACCAATTCCGCTGGTGACGAAGTTCTGACTTCTACCACCTACACCCTAGGTCCTCTATCAGTTCCAGCTGCTTACACAACCGAAGTAGTATCAGGATCATCTACTGCTACAGAAGTCGTATCTTTCTACAGCACCACCAATTCCGCTGGTGACGAAGTTGTGGCTTCTACCACCTACACCCTAGGTCCTCTATCAGTTCCAGCTGTTTACACAACCGAAGTAGTATCAGGATCATCTACTGCTACAGAAGTCGTATCCTTCTACAGCACCACCAATTGGCGCTGGTGACGAAGTTGTGGCTTCTACCACCTACACCCTAGGTCCTCTATCAGTTCCAGCTGTTTACACAAGCGAAGTAGTATCAGGATCATCTACTGCTACAGAAGTCGTATCTTTCTACAGCACCACCAATTCCGCTGGTGACGAAGTTCTGACTTCTACCACCTACACCCTAGGTCCTCTATCAGTTCCAGCTGCTTACACAACCGAAGTAGTATCAGGATCATCTACTGCTACCGAAGTCGTATCCTTCTACAGCACCACCAATTCCGCTGGTGACGAAGTTCTGGCTTCTACCACCTACACCCTAGGTCCTCTATCAGTTCCAGCTGCTTACACAAGCGAAGTAGTATCAGGATCATCTACTGCTACAGAAGTCGTATCCTTCTACAGCACCACCAATTCCGCTGGTGACGAAGTTGTGACTTCTACCACCTACACCCTAGGTCCTCTATCAGTTCCAGCTGTTTACACAACCGAAGTAGTATCAGGATCATCTACCGTTACCGAAGTCGTTTCCTTCTACAGCACCACCAATTCCGCTGGTGACGAAGTTGTGGCTTCTACCACCTACACCCTAGGTCCTCTATCAGTTCCAGCTGTTTACACAACCGAAGTAGTATCAGGATCATCTACTGCTACAGAAGTCGTATCCTTCTACAGCACCACCAATTCCGCTGGTGACGAAGTTCTGACTTCTACCACCTACACCCTAGGTCCTCTATCAGTTCCAGCTGCTTACACAAGCGAAGTAGTATCAGGATCATCTACTGCTACCGAAGTCGTATCCTTCTACAGCACCACCAATTCCGCTGGTGACGAAGTTGTGGCTTCTACCACCTACACCCTAGGTCCTCTATCAGTTCCAGCTGCTTACACAAGTGAAGTAGTATCAGGATCATCTACTGCTACAGAAGTCGTATCCTTCTACAGCACCACCAATTCCGCTGGTGACGAAGTTCTGACTTCTACCACCTACACCCTAGGTCCTCTATCAGTTCCAGCTGTTTACACAACCGAAGTAGTATCAGGATCATCTACTGCTACAGAAGTCGTTTCCTTCTACAGCACCACCAATTCCGCTGGTGACGAAGTTGTGGCTTCTACCACCTACACCCTAGGTCCTCTATCAGTTCCAGCTGCTTACACAAGCGAAGTAGTATCAGGATCATCTACCGTTACCGAAGTCGTTTCCTTCTACAGCACCACCAATTCCGCTGGTGACGAAGTTCTGGTTTCTACCACCTACACCCTAGATCCTCTATCAGTTCCAGCTGTTTACACAACCGAAGTAGTATCAGGATCATCTACTGCTACAGAAGTCGTATCCTTCTACAGCACCACCAATTCCGCTGGTGACGAAGTTGTGGCTTCTACCACCTACACCCTAGGTCCTCTATCAGTTCCAGCTGTTTACACAACCGAAGTAGTATCAGGATCATCTACCGTTACCGAAGTCGTTTCCTTCTACAGCACCACCAATTCCGCTGGTGACGAAGTTGTGGCTTCTACCACCTACACCCTAGGTCCTCTATCAGTTCCAGCTGTTTACACAAGCGAAGTAGTATCAGGATCATCTACTGCTACAGAAGTCGTATCCTTCTACAGCACCACCAATTCCGCTGGTGACGAAGTTCTGGCTTCTACCACCTACACCCTAGGTCCTCTATCAGTTCCAGCTGTTTACACAACCGAAGTAGTATCAGGATCATCTACTGCTACAGAAGTCGTATCCTTCTACAGCACCACCAATTCCGCTGGTGACGAAGTTCTGACTTCTACCACCTACACCCTAGGTCCTCTATCAGTTCCAGCTGCTTACACAACCGAAGTAGTATCAGGATCATCTACTGCTACCGAAGTCGTATCCTTCTACAGCACCACCAATTCCGCTGGTGACGAAGTTGTGGCTTCTACCACCTACACCCTAGGTCCTCTATCAGTTCCAGCTGTTTACACAACCGAAGTAGTATCAGGATCATCTACTGCTACAGAAGTCGTATCCTTCTACAGCACCACCAATTCCGCTGGTGACGAAGTTGTGGCTTCTACCACCTACACCCTAGGTCCTCTATCAGTTCCAGCTGTTTACACAACCGAAGTAGTATCAGGATCATCTACTGCTACAGAAGTCGTTTCCTTCTACAGCACCACCAATTCCGCTGGTGACGAAGTTCTGGTTTCTACCACCTACACCCTAGATCCTCTATCAGTTCCAGCTGCTTACACAACCGAAGTAGTATCAGGATCATCTACTGCTACAGAAGTCGTATCCTTCTACAGCACCACCAATTCCGCTGGTGACGAAGTTGTGGCTTCTACCACCTACACCCTAGGTCCTCTATCAGTTCCAGCTGTTTACACAACCGAAGTAGTATCAGGATCATCTACTGCTACAGAAGTCGTTTCCTTCTACAGCACCACCAATTCCGCTGGTGACGAAGTTGTGGCTTCTACCACCTACACCCTAGGTCCTCTATCAGTTCCAGCTGTTTACACAACCGAAGTAGTATCAGGATCATCTACCGTTACCGAAGTCGTATCCTTCTACAGCACCACCAATTCCGCTGGTGACGAAGTTCTGACTTCTACCACCTACACCCTAGGTCCTCTATCAGTTCCAGCTGTTTACACAACCGAAGTAGTATCAGGATCATCTACTGCTACAGAAGTCGTATCCTTCTACAGCACCACCAATTCCGCTGGTGACGAAGTTGTGGCTTCTACCACCTACACCCTAGGTCCTCTATCAGTTCCAGCTGTTTACACAACCGAAGTAGTATCAGGATCATCTACTGCTACAGAAGTCGTTTCCTTCTACAGCACCACCAATTCCGCTGGTGACGAAGTTCTGGTTTCTACCACCTACACCCTAGATCCTCTATCAGTTCCAGCTGTTTACACAACCGAAGTAGTATCAGGATCATCTACTGCTACAGAAGTCGTATCCTTCTACAGCACCACCAATTCCGCTGGTGACGAAGTTGTGGCTTCTACCACCTACACCCTAGGTCCTCTATCAGTTCCAGCTGTTTACACAACCGAAGTAGTATCAGGATCATCTACCGTTACCGAAGTCGTTTCCTTCTACAGCACCACCAATTCCGCTGGTGACGAAGTTCTGGTTTCTACCACCTACACCCTAGATCCTCTATCAGTTCCAGCTGTTTACACAACCGAAGTAGTATCAGGATCATCTACTGCTACAGAAGTCGTTTCCTTCTACAGCACCACCAATTCCGCTGGTGGCGAAGTTGTGGCTTCTACCACTTACACCCTAGGTCCTCTATCAGTTCCAGCTGTTTACACAACCGAAGTAGTATCAGGATCATCTACTGCTACAGAAGTCGTTTCCTTCTACAGCACCACCAATTCCGCTGGTGACGAAGTTGTGGCTTCTACCACCTACACCCTAGGTCCTCTATCAGTTCCAGCTGTTTACACAACCGAAGTAGTATCAGGATCATCTACTGCTACAGAAGTCGTATCCTTCTACAGCACCACCAATTCCGCTGGTGACGAAGTTCTGGTTTCTACCACCTACACCCTAGGTCCTCTATCAGTTCCAGCTGCTTACACAACCGAAGTAGTATCAGGATCATCTACTGCTACCGAAGTCGTATCCTTCTACAGCACCACCAATTCCGCTGGTGACGAAGTTGTGGCTTCTACCACCTACACCCTAGGTCCTCTATCAGTTCCAGCTGCTTACACAAGCGAAGTAGTATCAGGATCATCTACTGCTACAGAAGTCGTATCCTTCTACAGCACCACCAATTCCGCTGGTGACGAAGTTGTGGCTTCTACCACCTACACCCTAGGTCCTCTATCAGTTCCAGCTGTTTACACAACCGAAGTAGTATCAGGATCATCTACTGCTACAGAAGTCGTTTCCTTCTACAGCACCACCAATTCCGCTGGTGACGAAGTTCTGGTTTCTACCACCTACACCCTAGGTCCTCTATCAGTTCCAGCTGTTTACACAACCGAAGTAGTATCAGGATCATCTACTGCTACAGAAGTCGTATCCTTCTACAGCACCACCAATTCCGCTGGTGACGAAGTTGTGGCTTCTACCACCTACACCCTAGGTCCTCTATCAGTTCCAGCTGTTTACACAACCGAAGTAGTATCAGGATCATCTACTGCTACAGAAGTCGTATCCTTCTACAGCACCACCAATTCCGCTGGTGACGAAGTTGTGGTTTCTACCACCTACACCCTAGGTCCTCTATCAGTTCCAGCTGTTTACACAACCGAAGTAGTATCAGGATCATCTACTGCTACAGAAGTCGTATCCTTCTACAGCACCACCAATTCCGCTGGTGACGAAGTTGTGGTTTCTACCACCTACACCCTAGGTCCTCTATTAGTTCCAGCTGTTTACACAACCGAAGTAGTATCAGGATCATCTACTGCTACAGAAGTCGTTTCCTTCTACAGCACCACCAATTCCGCTGGTGACGAAGTTCTGGCTTCTACCACCTACACCCTAGATCCTCTATCAGTTCCAGCTGTTTACACAACCGAAGTAGTATCAGGATCATCTACTGCTACAGAAGTCGTTTCCTTCTACAGCACCACCAATTCCGCTGGTGACGAAGTTCTGGTTTCTACCACCTACACCCTAGGTCCTCTATCAGTTCCAGCTGTTTACACAACCGAAGTAGTATCAGGATCATCTACTGCTACAGAAGTCGTTTCCTTCTACAGCACCACCAATTCCGCTGGTGACGAAGTTCTGGTTTCTACCACCTACACCCTAGATCCTCTATCAGTTCCAGCTGTTTACACAACCGAAGTAGTATCAGGATCATCTACTGCTACAGAAGTCGTTTCCTTCTACAGCACCACCAATTCCGCTGGTGACGAAGTTCTGGTTTCTACCACCTACACCCTAGATCCTCTATCAGTTCCAGCTGCTTACACAAGTGAAGTAGTATCAGGATCATCTACTGCTACAGAAGTCGTATCCTTCTACAGCACCACCAATTCCGCTGGTGACGAAGTTGTGGCTTCTACCACCTACACCCTAGGTCCTCTATCAGTTCCAGCTGTTTACACAACCGAAGTAGTATCAGGATCATCTACTGCTACAGAAGTCGTTTCCTTCTACAGCACCACCAATTCCGCTGGTGACGAAGTTGTGGCTTCTACCACCTACACCCTAGGTCCTCTATCAGTTCCAGCTGTTTACACAACCGAAGTAGTATCAGGATCATCTACCGTTACCGAAGTCGTATCCTTCTACAGCACCACCAATTCCGCTGGTGACGAAGTTCTGACTTCTACCACCTACACCCTAGGTCCTCTATCAGTTCCAGCTGTTTACACAACCGAAGTAGTATCAGGATCATCTACTGCTACAGAAGTCGTATCCTTCTACAGCACCACCAATTCCGCTGGTGACGAAGTTGTGGCTTCTACCACCTACACCCTAGGTCCTCTATCAGTTCCAGCTGTTTACACAACCGAAGTAGTATCAGGATCATCTACTGCTACAGAAGTCGTTTCCTTCTACAGCACCACCAATTCCGCTGGTGACGAAGTTGTGGCTTCTACCACCTACACCCTAGGTCCTCTATCAGTTCCAGCTGTTTACACAACCGAAGTAGTATCAGGATCATCTACTGCTACAGAAGTCGTATCCTTCTACAGCACCACCAATTCCGCTGGTGACGAAGTTGTGGCTTCTACCACCTACACCCTAGGTCCTCTATCAGTTCCAGCTGTTTACACAACCGAAGTAGTATCAGGATCATCTACTGCTACAGAAGTCGTTTCCTTCTACAGCACCACCAATTCCGCTGGTGACGAAGTTGTGGCTTCTACCACCTACACCCTAGGTCCTCTATCAGTTCCAGCTGTTTACACAACCGAAGTAGTATCAGGATCATCTACCGTTACCGAAGTCGTTTCCTTCTACAGCACCACCAATTCCGCTGGTGACGAAGTTCTGGTTTCTACCACCTACACCCTAGATCCTCTATCAGTTCCAGCTGTTTACACAACCGAAGTAGTATCAGGATCATCTACCGTTACCGAAGTCGTTTCCTTCTACAGCACCACCAATTCCGCTGGTGACGAAGTTCTGGTTTCTACCACCTACACCCTAGATCCTCTATCAGTTCCAGCTGTTTACACAACCGAAGTAGTATCAGGATCATCTACTGCTACAGAAGTCGTATCCTTCTACAGTACCACCAATTCCGCTGGTGACGAAGTTGTGGTTTCTACCACCTACACCCTAGGTCCTCTATTAGTTCCAGCTGTTTACACAACCGAAGTAGTATCAGGATCATCTACTGCTACAGAAGTGGTATCCTTCTACAGCACCACCAATTCCGCTGGTGACGAAGTTCTGGTTTCTACCACCTACACCCTAGGTCCTCTATCAGTTCCAGCTGCTTACACAACCGAAGTAGTATCAGGATCATCTACTGCTACCGAAGTCGTATCCTTCTACAGCACCACCAATTCCGCTGGTGACGAAGTTGTGGCTTCTACCACCTACACCCTAGGTCCTCTATCAGTTCCAGCTGCTTACACAAGCGAAGTAGTATCAGGATCATCTACTGCTACAGAAGTCGTATCCTTCTACAGCACCACCAATTCCGCTGGTGACGAAGTTGTGGCTTCTACCACCTACACCCTAGGTCCTCTATCAGTTCCAGCTGTTTACACAACCGAAGTAGTATCAGGATCATCTACTGCTACAGAAGTCGTTTCCTTCTACAGCACCACCAATTCCGCTGGTGACGAAGTTGTGGCTTCTACCACCTACACCCTAGGTCCTCTATCAGTTCCAGCTGTTTACACAACCCGAAGTAGTATCAGGATCATCTACCGCCGTTGCAGATAGGTGGTTTCTTTATACAGCCCCCCCAATTCCCGCTGGTGACGAAGTTCTGGTTTCTACCACCTACACCCTAGATCCTCTATCAGTTCCAGCTGTTTACACAACCGAAGTAGTATCAGGATCATCTACTGCTACCGAAGTCGTATCTTTCTACAGCACCACCAATTCCGCTGGTGACGAAGTTGTGGCTTCTACCACCTACACCCTAGGTCCTCTATCAGTTCCAGCTGTTTACACAACCGAAGTAGTATCAGGATCATCTACTGCTACCGAAGTCGTATCCTTCTACAGCACCACCAATTCCGCTGGTGACGAAGTTGTGGCTTCTACCACCTACACCCTAGGTCCTCTATCAGTTCCAGCTGCTTACACAAGTGAAGTAGTATCAGGATCATCTACTGCTACAGAAGTCGTATCTTTCTACAGCACCACCAATTCCGCTGGTGACGAAGTTCTGACTTCTACCACCTACACCCTAGGTCCTCTATCAGTTCCAGCTGTTTACACAACCGAAGTAGTATCAGGATCATCTACTGCTACAGAAGTCGTTTCCTTCTACAGCACCACCAATTCCGCTGGTGACGAAGTTGTGGCTTCTACCACCTACACCCTAGGTCCTCTATCAGTTCCAGCTGTTTACACAACCGAAGTAGTATCAGGATCATCTACTGCTACCGAAGTCGTATCTTTCTACAGCAACACCAATTCCGCTGGTGACGAAGTTGTGGCTTCTACCACCTACACCCTAGGTCCTCTATCAGTTCCAGCTGTTTACACAACCGAAGTAGTATCAGGATCATCTACTGCTACAGAAGTCGTATCTTTCTACAGCACCACCAATTCCGCTGGTGACGAAGTTGTGGCTTCTACCACCTACACCCTAGGTCCTCTATCAGTTCCAGCTGTTTACACAACCGAAGTAGTATCAGGATCATCTACCGTTACCGAAGTCGTATCCTTCTACAGCACCACCAATTCCGCTGGTGACGAAGTTCTGGCTTCTACCACCTACACCCTAGGTCCTCTATCAGTTCCAGCTGTTTACACAACCGAAGTAGTATCAGGATCATCTACTGCTACAGAAGTCGTATCCTTCTACAGCACCACCAATTCCGCTGGTGACGAAGTTGTGGCTTCTACCACCTACACCCTAGGTCCTCTATCAGTTCCAGCTGTTTACACAACCGAAGTAGTATCAGGATCATCTACTGCTACAGAAGTCGTATCCTTCTACAGCACCACCAATTCCGCTGGTGACGAAGTTGTGGCTTCTACCACCTACACCCTAGGTCCTCTATCAGTTCCAGCTGCTTACACAACCGAAGTAGTATCAGGATCATCTACTGCTACAGAAGTCGTATCTTTCTACAGCACCACCAATTCCGCTGGTGACGAAGTTGTGGCTTCTACCACCTACACCCTAGGTCCTCTATCAGTTCCAGCTGTTTACACAACCGAAGTAGTATCAGGATCATCTACTGCTACAGAAGTCGTTTCCTTCTACAGCACCACCAATTCCGCTGGTGACGAAGTTGTGGCTTCTACCACCTACACCCTAGGTCCTCTATCAGTTCCAGCTGTTTACACAAGCGAAGTAGTATCAGGATCATCTACTGCTACAGAAGTCGTTTTCTTCTACAGCACCACCAATTCCGCTGGTGACGAAGTTGTGGCTTCTACCACCTACACCCTAGGTCCTCTATCAGTTCCAGCTGTTTACACAACCGAAGTAGTATCAGGATCATCTACTGCTACAGAAGTCGTTTCCTTCTACAGCACCACCAATTCCGCTGGTGACGAAGTTCTGGTTTCTACCACCTACACCCTAGGTCCTCTATCAGTTCCAGCTGTTTACACAACCGAAGTAGTATCAGGATCATCTACCTTTACCGAAGTCGTTTCCTTCTACAGCACCACCAATTCCGCTGGTGACGAAGTTCTGGTTTCTACCACCTACACCCTAGATCCTCTATCAGTTCCAGCTGTTTACACAACCGAAGTAGTATCAGGATCATCTACTGCTACAGAAGTCGTATCCTTCTACAGCACCACCAATTCCGCTGGTGACGAAGTTGTGGTTTCTACCACCTACACCCTAGGTCCTCTATTAGTTCCAGCTGTTTACACAACCGAAGTAGTATCAGGATCATCTACTGCTACAGAAGTGGTATCCTTCTACAGCACCACCAATTCCGCTGGTGACGAAGTTGTGGCTTCTACCACCTACACCCTAGGTCCTCTATCAGTTCCAGCTGTTTACACAACCGAAGTAGTATCAGGATCATCTACTGCTACAGAAGTCGTTTCCTTCTACAGCACCACCAATTCCGCTGGTGACGAAGTTGTGGCTTCTACCACTTACACCCTAGGTCCTCTATCAGTTCCAGCTGTTTACACAACCGAAGTAGTATCAGGATCATCTACTGCTACAGAAGTCGTTTCCTTCTACAGCACCACCAATTCCGCTGGTGACGAAGTTGTGGCTTCTACCACCTACACCCTAGGTCCTCTATCAGTTCCAGCTGTTTACACAACCGAAGTAGTATCAGGATCATCTACCGTTACCGAAGTCGTATCCTTCTACAGCACCACCAATTCCGCTGGTGACGAAGTTCTGACTTCTACCACCTACACCCTAGGTCCTCTATCAGTTCCAGCTGTTTACACAACCGAAGTAGTATCAGGATCATCTACTGCTACAGAAGTCGTATCCTTCTACAGCACCACCAATTCCGCTGGTGACGAAGTTGTGGCTTCTACCACCTACACCCTAGGTCCT